TCCAAACCAGAGAAACAAGTTATTGCCTCCAGAAATATTGTACTTAGATTCCTGTATCAATTCCTCAGTGTCATAATGCATCTGAGATGTGTAAGTAGATGGGTTTTCTCTTTAAAATTGATGATTGTGGAATTATAAGTTGAAATTCTACTGTCTCAAAGTTGTCTATAAAGTACAGTAACATAGAGGCAGTAGTATAAAAACAAAGAAAATTAGACTTAAACTTGAGTCTCAGGGAATGAAACGTACCAGAAGCAAGAATGAAAGGAGAAACATATCCGTTAATGTTTTCTTTAATTGCCTTCATTGTGGTTGGTGGATTGTCACCTGACTGCTCCTGGTTATGCCATCACTGTAGATCATGAAGATCTTGGCACAAACTTCTTTAAGAATGCTCCAGCGCTCCTTGCGGCTGCTTTTGAGTTCTGATAGCCAGGGGGGGGTGTAGTCCAAACTCTGCTGGGATTTTCAGCTGTACTTTTTCTTTATACTTTACCATAATTGACCTCTTTTGAATGGAATAACCAAACGGTAATCGCCCACTCCCGTGTATTTCTCCGCTGGGTACTTTTGAACAGGTATTAACCTTCCGTGGCATTTGTGTGCCCTGAAATCATCTTTCTTTATTTTGTTTCCACCTAGAGGCGGGGCTGTCTCTGCCTCACTCCTGATTCATTCTTTGTAGCACCTGAGAAACATGGGAAGAGACCACATCCCACAGCTCCTTCCCTTCAGGTGCCCCTTTCAAACTATAGGCAGTTGTTTCCCTGTTTCTTTCCAGACCTGTTTGAGAAACATTAAAAGAGATTTAATTTCATATCATAGTCATAGGAGAAGAAAAAAGAATAGCATCATCACTGATTTTTTTTTTCTTTTTTATCGGTATCAGGATCGAACTCACAACTGCCTGCTTGCGAGGCAGGCGCTTATGCGCTGAGCTAAATCCCCAGCCCCACTGATTTTTTTTAAAACTGCGTGTATTTCTTGTGTACTTTTCTTCTTTTTTCTCTTTTGGTAGATATTAATGTGATTGGGACAGTTGATCATGTAGCAAGACTTTGAGATACAAGTTAATAACATTTAGCAGTTTTATGGACATTTAGTTTTTACTGTTAGAATTACATGTAACCCCAAAAGGTAACTAAGTCTGGAATTTGATGTTATTTCATTTTACAAATAATTTTGTATTTCATGTTACAAATAATTGAGAATGTTCAGTGCTTGGGATATTACTTGTGAGTTAAGCAGAAGGATGAGTTTTGTCACAGCCAGAACTTAGAGGTCTGGTTAAGGATAAGAAGCTATTAAGTAGGCATATAATAAATTATTGTTTGATTTCAGATGTCTTAAACAATAAAACCTCAAGTGAATATTGAAATTTCTTAAATGGCCCTGTGCTTACTATTATAGTTTAGCAACCGGAAAGAGGATAGGGAAGAAGGGAGAAAGGAATAAAGAAGCAAAGGGAGAAGGAAAGGAAGGAGGAAGAGAGGAAATGGAAAAGAGGAAGAAAGGATGGAAGAGAAAAAAAAGAAGCAATGCTATGCAACAAAAACTAATTCTACAACATTATCTTGTAATGCGCATAAGTGCCCTTTGTGCTCTGTATTATAATTGTTTCTTTAATTATACATTCTTATTCAATTCTACAATTTGAATAGGCATGGTTCATATCTTTCTTGCTTACTATTATAATGTCTAGTGTAATGCTTGGCATACAAGAATTGCTACATACCTGTAACTATTCAATGATGATGTCAGTTTTCAGCTTTTGATAGCTCTAAAATTGTTTCTTTAAAATAGAATAGATTTATATAAAATGGAGTACTATTCAGTCATAAGGAAGGATAAACTAAAGGTTTTTATACACAAATAGGTACAACTTAAGACCATAATTAGTGAAATAAATCAGACACACATGTGTAAACATTGTATTGTCTCATTAGTGTGAAAAGCTGAAAGAAATAACATATGTATATGTGTATATATATGCATATAAAAATAGTTAAGATAGTTACACTAAAAAAAAGAGAAAAGATATTCTAGTCATTCGTAGGAAAGCTGAAACTTCTTGAGAACATAATGCTAAGTGATATAAACCAGACCATAAGATCAAATAGTGCAAGGTTTCTCTTACATGAGAAACCTAATATATAAATAAAAAGTAAAATGGAAAAGTACAGAATACATTCCTGTGTAGAGTGGGATATGGCTCAAACATTTAACAACACAAAAATCAGTTGGCTGTGCTTCCTAACCCTCTTGAAATCTCAGCCTTTTGGGTGTTTGCCATGATAATGACTAAAGGCTTGCCAAAGGAACAAGAGTGCTTGAAAGATACTGGCTCCCAACCCACAGCCCAGAGCTTCTGTTTCAGCTGATACAGAGTAATCACAAATGTTAGCATTTTGAAAACTCCCCAGGTGATTTCATGTTCAACCTGGGTTGAAAAATGACTTTTACATTATTCAAATCTGCCTATTTTGGTTGATTTAATCAGAAGCTTCCAAGTGGAGATGGCTCAGCAGCCCATAGTATATGAAAATGTTCACATGAAAGCTCCATCCTTCCCCAACTCTAAAGTCCAACACATGTCCGTACCTTTAATCCTGGCCACTGCAGAGGGGTCGGGGGTACTGTGGAAGGAAGAAAGCACAAAGGAAGGGGTGAAAAACAGCTCTTGGTTACATGATTGAATTCTGCCATTGACAAGTGTTTTAAAGTAACTCACACAGAGCTATCATTAAATAAATCTTTTTGAAAACCTACTACAATCTTGGTAATAGACTGCATGGATACAGTGGGGGGAAAGGCTAACAACCTTTTCTCAGAGCTGACACTCTGGGGGGCAAGACAGAGTGAGAACAGAGAGAGAGATGCATCACTACCACTGACATCAGGGAATACTATGAAGAAAATTAAGGCACGGCCAAGGATAGAGAGAGTCATGGGGTCCAGTGAGAGCTCGGGTGGTCGGGGAAAATAGCTCTGGGATGGTGAGGTCTGAGACTTGAATGAAGTCAAAGAGTAAAGGCAGGAACATGTGAGGACTGAGGAAAGAGCAAGAGGGAAATCCCAGGATTGAAGATGCCTTTGGCATGTCCAAAAAATAGAAAGAAAGTACATATGACTGAAATAAGACTCATCATTTAGGGCCCGGGAGGCCTGGAGCAGGAGTCTAGGATTTATCTCCTCTGTGATATAAGGTTCTTGGGGGATTCTGAGTGGAGAGGGACTTGATCTAATTTTATTTTAAAAGGACACTCTGAGTCCTGTGAGGCAAATGACTAACAAGGGGTTAGATTCGAGGCCACGCCAGTGGCCCACGTAGATCGGAGTAATTTAGATTCGGATTGCAGTGGGAGAGGAGGGAGAAACAATAAGATGCAGGATGATTTTGAAAGTGATAATGGAGAAGACTTGCTGATGCATGGAGAGTTGGACATAAGAGAAAAAAAAATGTGACTGCTCATTGGTAGGTGTAAGTATTAGCATGAATGTGAAATGATTTCTGAATGTTTAGGCATCACCTGATATGTGGTCAGTCCTCAGTAAACCTCGGCTTTACAAGTAGGCATTCAGGTCTGCAGCTCAGGAGCCGGTGATGTGTATCTGGGAGTTACTGGGGTACAAGTAAAATCAAGGGGACATGGAATGAAAAGAGGAGGTTGAGAGCGGGGTCCCAGGTGCTTCAGCACTGACTGAATGCTGAGCTTGGGACCCGGAAAGGAGGACGGAGAAGGGGGAAAGGCAGGCAATTACAGGACATTCTGGAGTATGCTGAGACCCCTGTGACAAGGGAAGAAACATTCTTGGGTGAAAATTGACTGACACATTGCTGACAAGTATTCCAGAGCAACCCATCATGAGGTTGACAACTGGATGTAACCTTGTCTTCACATCTGCAGAAGGAACCCTGAAACTCTGACATTTCTCCAGGGCACTTGCCCCTTCTTAGAGAAGACTGTTCAAGTCTTGGCTTTTCTTCCTTCTCCTTTTTCGCTTTGCCTCTCTTTTTTTCTTGGATTTTCAGTATCTTTTAAATTCAACAACAAAAATAACTCCTCTGCTCCCCTTTAAATGTGAACAGGTTACATATTCAAGATTAATCCCCATTCCTGAAGCCTGAGTTTTGATTTCCATAACAATAATACTTAGCTAAACACTCAGGTCATTATATAAATACTTTTTATCTCAGCAAACAGCAGAGTAGGCATGGAAGTAGTAATTGTTTACGTGAATAAAATTTTAGAGAAAGCTCACTTGAAATTAAAAAAGATCGAGTTGAAGATGCCATTTGCTCTTTTTTTAAAAAATTTTATTTAAAAGGAAAAAGAGAAAAAACAAAACAAAAAGTGGTGTAAGGGTACAAGTAATACAGAACTACAAAAAAAAAAAAAAAACAGTAAGAAATCACCAGTTAATAGATTACACATTATCATCTTAGAGATAGTTGCTCAAGTCACAGTATCAAAGCATACAAAGTGGACATTCAAACAGTGAGACTGCAAACAGTTGTGTTCAATGATCCAACCAAAAACATTAATATGGTCAGCTATTTAACACCCCTAAACACACTTGCAGTTGTATCTTTTAGAGCACTTTTTTTCCTTCTCTTTTTTACAACAAAATTTACACATTTTGGGTTTTATTACTCCTTAGTTCTTATTACTTTTTTTTGGGGGGGGGGAGAGAATAAAGTCAAATATGGCAAAACAAAGCTGTCAGTCAAAACCAAGGATAGACATAGCACATGATATAAAAACAGAGTACAAGGTTATCAACAATGGTTACCATAATGTCTCTTGTTTCCTTAAAAAGAATTGTCTATCTCATTAGGTATTATAAACTTGAACAAAACAGTGGAGAACAAGACCAATAAAACTTAAGCATTGTAAACATTACAGGACTTCCAAAGGAGACAATAGTCAAACCAGAATGGGCATCTTATTGAATCTTACTGCCTTCAAAGTGCATTTGCTCTTGAATTATGTCTTTAGGAGAGAGAACTCTGCCATGTGGAAAGTAGTGCTTGGCATCAACAACCTGGACCACCCGTCCACGTACACGCAGACCCGCCTTGTGAAGACCATCATCCTGCACCCCCGCTACAGCCGCGCAGTGGTGGATTATGACATCAGCATCGTCGAGCTGAATGAAGACATCAATGAGACAAGCTACGTCCGGCCCATCTGCTTACCTAGCCCAGGGCAGGCTCTAGAGCCAGACACATACTGCTACATCACAGGCTGGGGCCACATGGGCAACAAAAGTAAGCCAGCGTCCTCAGCAGCTCATACCCATCAGCTTATAACTGAAATTGACTATTGCTTTCTAATGTTTGCCCATAATTTCCCATTTTCATTTATGAAAATGTAGCCACAAACGGTTACTATTTATTTTTACATATATTCTCTCTTCCAAGCCAATTGTATCGCTACTAATCCATCAAATCTGCCAAACTCTGATGCAATATTAATTTTTTTTCTCTGACTCTTTGTCCAGGGAGCCACTGCTGATGTTTTGAAGCTTTTAGGTGAAATGAGACCTTTCAAACTTCCAGGCTTTCGATTGACTCTAGCGATGTTTGGGGTTATTGTAGGGAGAATCTCACAGAGGCTCTATCGAGCAGCTAGGAAAATCCCCCTCCTATGGTCAAGTTGCATGGTCTCACTTCCAGTCTGATTGGAGTTAAGATTTGTCCTATCTACATCTAACAGAACAGCTGTTAAGCCCATCTAGGAGGCAAATTGATTGGCTCTGTAGATGAGTTAAACATATGAAATACACTGAAATTAAACCTTTGTACTGCTTATTCTCCCTCCCTCCCCAGGGAACTTCCTGATTCTGTGTGACTTAAAGTTTAGAATGAGAACTGGGTCAATGAGATATTTCTTTTACCTGAGTGCCAGCCAGTCTGAAGCAGATCAAGTATAATGCCATGGCTCTCAAGGGTGGTAATGCCTCTATTCTTGGCCTTAGGGACTACCAGTTTGAAGGAATATTTTTTTCTTCACATTTAATCAGATATATTTTGAGCTCTTTTTATATGATTAATTGTTGATTTAAAGGAAAAGTCAATAGACAAAAATCAGTAACGTTTTCAGAAGGTCCCATGTGAGAATTTTGAAGACTGTTAATTAAACATGATACCACCATTCCTGCACAACTTGGGTTTCTAAAAGCTGTGATTAGTACTCTAAGGTAAAAGCAGAATATACTTTGTTTTCTCTACCTGTGTTCTTTCCATGGTCTCCTTGTCAGAGAAACAGTGTAGCGTAGGGCATGTACCTCAGCTATGACTTAGCATGAAGAGCTAAAGTTGGAATTCATTCCGGAAGTTGACTGACCCCAACAGCATCACTTGCTAGTTAGCTACAAAGTGAAAAAAAAAAATGGTAGCAACTGTCTAACTCATAAGACTGTGGTAAAGATTAAAAACAATAGGGCCTGGCAGATATATAGTATAGGTGCCTGGCCTACCACTAGTATCCAATAAATGCTATTTTCTCATTATTCCTTGGCAATTCATGACACACTCACTGTCTACATCTCACTGATTTTTCAAAATTTGGTTATTTCTGGCCAGGAGGTATGTATAGAGTGTTTCCCATAACCATTTCAAAGAATTATCTGTCTATTTTGTGTATTGGCCAAACAGTAAAAGGTTCATACTGTTTTGTTTCATGAAATCCATTGTTTGTCTGAAAGAACTTTCAGGCAAGAAGTTCACATTTTCTATCACACCGAGGGCTGGTTTTGCCTTTTTGACATCTCTCTATCATATCCTCTAGGACTAAAGTTTCCCACATGAAATAATGGCCACTGGAGTGCTATAATGAGATGTGGTCTTTTCATCACTTTCAGGGCAAGCTCTCCCCTCGAGAGGGAACAGGTCTCCTCAGGTTTTGCAGAGCAGGACTGACGTGCTGAGCGGACGCAGGGAGCAGAGCTTGGCTTGGTTTTCCCCTTTTCATTCAAGTAGCTGTTGTTTTTGCCATAGCACATGATAAGAAGGACAAAGCATCAGCCAAGTTATTTAACCAGCCTGTGCCTCAATTTCCTCAATGACATCACATGAAGAATAGTTTTAATTAGCCATTTTGGTTCCCAACAAATCTTGTCTTTAATATGACATTTCAAGTGACGATGGTGGCTATTTTGATGCAAGCACATTCCTGTAATGTTGTTCACTTTACATTTGGCTAGCCTGACTTTTGAATCATGTTACTATCTTATGTATTTTTTATTTCTTCTTTTTTAAAATTCAGTGCCTTTCAAGTTGCAAGAAGGAGAGGTCCGCATTATTTCCCTGGAGCAGTGCCAGTCCTACTTTGACATGAAGACCATCACCACTCGGATGATATGTGCTGGCTATGAGTCCGGGACAGTTGACTCATGCATGGTAAATTGCTTTCTGGTTACCCATGAAATTCAGTGCAGCAGTAACATCGGTGGGCCCATGCAGTCTCATTGCTATTCATGGATGGCCCTTTTGAAAGTTGTTACCAAATATTTAGTGATTTGCAATGTGTCTTGTTTTAGCCAGTACCTAACCAATCTTTGCTAATATGCATCTCTGCTTCACCCAGATATGCCTTCAGGTTCCTCATCTTCTCAGCGGGAAACACCCTTCACCTGTAAGAGGAAAAACAATTTTAAGTCCATTTTATCTAATCACTTTAGTAGCTAGGCTAAAAAAGATTGTAAGAAGAACAAGGTGATATCCATAGCTGCAACCCAGCTGCTCAGGGTAAGGGCAGCCACCAGAAGGCATTGCCAGCTTTTAGGGTGATGACATCAGGGCATACACCAAAGCTCCAGTTTCCAGGGTATGTGACAGGACTGGCTGTGTCTCAAGATGACCAACCTGGCATTATCTGGGCCTTGCACCCCTCATGTTATTTCCAACATATCCTCAAATGTCACTAACTCTGACTGTTCTACATGCTTGAGGTTGCTGACCACAGCAGTTTGCAGAGCATGCCAACTTAGCATTATAGGGAAGCGTTTTTTATTTTTATGTAAATATTCTTTGACTGTTATTCTTGGCTGGCTCCCAAGGAAACTTGAAAATGTGCAAGTGCTCACAGAAGTCATAACAGAATAGAGGAGGTAGGCGGCCACTGCTTCTGTATCAAAGAAGTACAATGTTATTATCACTATTTCAGTGTGATTAAATGGCACCTCTGATGGTCCATTTTAGAACAGGAAATCAGAAAATTTCTAGTGGTGATTCTTTAGATAGTTGTCATAGATTCAGGGAAGCAGATAATTCCCTTGTAAATTTTCTGAGGTCACCTTCCTTTCTGCCACCTGGCCACGAGTCATCCAGCTGAGATCACAGTGGTGAAAACTCCCTTCCTTCTGTACAAGACACTCAGGTTTGACTTCCAAAGCCAAATAATTTTTAGTTTTGTAATGTTGAGTATCAAACCCAGAGCCTTGCGCATGCCAACAAGCACTGTACCTGATGCAAAGGTTGGTGCACAAAATCTCCAGCTGAAAAGTCTAGATTGAGTCACCTCTCTTCAGTTAAATAAATAATGCAATGTGAGGGCATGCTCTAGCCTGTTAGGCTGTGTTCCCAGGAGTAATACGTGGATATTTTGAGGCTTTACTCAGTTACTATTAAATGAAAAACTTCTGTTTGCATTTGAATATAATGCCTGTTACTTAGACTTTCAGTAAAAAGTAATTATATTAATATTAAATCTTTTATAGTATAATCTGAGTAACTCATTTAATTGATACAATCATCCCACCCATGAGGCAGCATCATCATTTTCCCTAAATAAATCAAGAAAAAAAGACACTGTAGAGGTTACATACTTTGCTGTAGCTCACCCAGCATGATGATGGTAAAGCGAGGCTGTGAACACAGGCAATCTCACTTCAGGGCCCAAGCGTTCAGCTACAGTGGTATCTCAGCAGCGGTGACGAACACAGATACATTCTCCTTTTCCCCAGCGTGATTTGTTTGTCTACCAAGAACCAGCACCACTTGACACACTTTTGAGATCATCCCGCCATAACTTTTAAAGAAGTGGGAGGAGAGGCATTCTTTGAAAGAGAATTGAAGGCCTAAGCACAGTCATAGGCACAGGCATGTTTATATCACAATGCACGGTAGGAACCGGGTCCTGCCAACCGCTAGTAGACTGCATTTAGGGTTGTGAGTCTTAAATGTGACCAGATGTTCTGTGCCACCACCTTAGATAAAAAACAAAATGAAAGCTACTTTTTACCAGATACGAAACATTTTTATGTACCAAAAGCCCTATCAAAGAACATACATTGTCTTTCTTGATTGCACCAGTGGAGCTCACCAAAGGTGTGGATCCTCCGTGCAGGTCTGTAAGGCATGTGGATACATGCCACAGGCACACTTAAACTTTCATCTGAAACCAAATCTTTTTTGTTATTACTTATTTGCAGTACATAATGATTGCATTCATTGTGGGGAGTTGGCACAGGCACTCAGCATGCGTTTTGCTGTTTTGACTAGCATGTCTGTGACATGTAACGATTGCATTCTCTATGGATAGTTGATACACGTAGGTGACACATCTTAATTCTTTTTATGTCTCCATCTCTTCCTTCTTTCTCCTTCCCCAAATCTCCCTTTCTTCCTTCCTACTTACAAAAAGTGTGTCTCTGTTTCAATTACCTTCTTTTCCTCTTTATTTATACTTTGGATTTGTCACTTGAAACCATAATGTTAAGTAAAATAATCAGACCCACGTCGTGTTTATATTTCCTGTTCCTGCTACCTTCCCTCGTCCTCTGTCTCTAGGTCCCTTTTCCATTTGCCAAAGATCACACTCCCTGTTTCCTACTATCTTTGATTTTACTCTTTAACGGACTCATACTTCAGCTTTTTCATGAGACCAGTCTTATGCTATGGAAGCTTGCGTATCTGATTTATTTCACTTTATGGTCTCGTGTTGCATCCAGTTCCCTGTACAGAACAGTCTAGTTTTACCAGGAGGAAACGTGACGCAAAATACAGACCACACCAGTGGGTCTTACCTGCACCCTCCTTTCAGTCTGAATTGATCACTCTTTTAAACTACTTTTTATCCAGGGTACAGCTCAGCGGCACAGGCGTGTGTCGGCAAGTGCAAGGTTGTGAGTTCAACACCCAGTACCAAAAACAACAGTAACAATGACAATAACAAACAAAACAAAAAAATCCCTCCAAAACAAAACAAAATTCATACATGTTTGCAGTACGTAATTACATTTATTGTGAGGAATTGGTAACTCCATAAAACATCTTACTCCTTTTTTATTTCCTTTTCCTCCCAAATGAGGGATGTAGGCAACTGGGTGCACCTTGGGAACATGTTAAGTGAAGTGAATCAGACACACGAGCTTCCTTATCATAAGACTGGTCTTACAGGGAAAAGCCGAAGTACAAATAAATTAAAGAACCAGACAGTAGGAAATAGGGAGCTCAATCTTTGGCGATACGAAGTGGGGAAATCTTTTTAAAAAGGAAAGGAGGACAAGAGGTGGAGGGAGGTTGGACAGAAGGCAGGAAAAGGGATTTTAAAAGAGAATAAAAACAAATGGAAACCGCCTTTTCAAGTGGGAAGAGAAGCTGAACTGCTGAGTCCTGACCTCTATTTTTCTCACCTAAAAGAGCACCTGTGTGAGCCATTCAAAACCCACACCTAAGGAAGGCATGTGTGTCCTCTCCACCTGGAAAAAAATCACATATTCTTCTGAAATCTTCTTTGTAATTCTTCAGTTTTGGTTTCCTATAAAGTCGTGTTTGTTACCAAGACTTTTGGTTGCTCTTGGACAAACACTGTGTCTTCCACATCTATGGAGAGCCTAGCGCAGAACTTTGCATAGTGGAGATGCTAGGTAATTCTAATTTCTGATCTGGACAGGCAGAGATACCAACAATAAAATATATCTCATTTTAATCATACTCATAATAAATAGCTCAAACTAAATAATTGAGTACCCTCTCTATATAAGGGGAGAGGAAAAACATTTTAATATATTACATATTACATATTTTTTCAGGAAATTTCCAGAAAATTTATGTATTACAAACATGTACAATGAAATTTTTTAAAAAGAAAAAAGGAAACGGAAAGCCCATTGCAATAATGCTGTGCACACTGGAAGAAAATTATCCTCACAGGGAGACCTGTGTCCAAATATGTAATTTTTTCCCAACCCTATATTTAGTTTTAAAAATGTAGTAACAATCAGAAGCATGTCACTGCTGTGGTTTTTCCTGATTTCTTATGCTTCCTAACTCCTGCCTCTACTGGGTTTCCTGGCCAGTAGTTGGATTCTGCAAAAGTATGTTTCACTGTTGTCATGGAAACAGGAGCATCAGGAATGATAGGCTTCTGATACTCCCACGCTGCAGAGCAATAATACTCGGAAAAATCACTGCATTCTGTCAGACAGGGCTTGCTGCTACTTTAAGAAGGCCCCTCTGCAGTCAATACAGAGCGTTCTCTCTTACCCCCATGCTCACTTGTGGGCACCTATGGTCCAAAATATTGGATGAAAAATTCCAGAAATAAACAATTTGAAAGTATAAATTAATTAACTTAGGCTTTCTGGCAGAAAATGTTGGTTTTGGGTCCTTATTAAATCTATGCTTATTATTCAGGCTCAGGGCATTGGAAGTTTTGCATGTGAAGGTCACACCACTTCTACAAAAGCACGCAGCATAATCCAAATTCCAATTTTGTTTTCATAGCAATAGTATTAACTAACATTCCTAAGAAGCAAGACACCCTGGTAGTCATGAAGAAGGCAACTTGTCAGGAAGCCTGGGTTCAAATCCTAGCTTTGCCCATGAGTAAGTTCTTTTTTTTACCCACCCCCGCCGCTAACGAGTAAGTTATTTAACTTGTGCATCAGTTGAATTATCTCCAACATGAGCATAATAATATCAATTTGTAGGTATTTTGTGAAGATTAAGTGAGTTAATACACGGAAAGTATCAGTAAACATTATTCCTATTATTTTCCAACATTACAAGGTAGGAAAGTCATAGATATTATAGGCAGGAAATCTTTCCATTTTGGATATTTTCTACAGTTACAGAGAAGTAGGGAGAAGGACAGCGGGTAGGGAATGAAAAACAAAAACGAGAAATAAAAGAATTAGGATATAATATTACCTGCACCAACTCCCCATAATAATAATGCTTATGTACTGCAAGCATGTACTAATAAAACTAATTTGCAAGGGCTGGGATTTAGCTCAGCGGCATAAGCGCTAGCCTTGCAAGCAGGCAGTCGTGAGTTCGATCCCCGGTACCGATAAAAACGAAAAAGACAAAAAAAAAAAAAAAACTAATTTACAAGTGAAACAAGAATTAGATTAATTACGAGAGGTCTTCTTAAATTTTATGACATATTTTGGTAAGCAGGAAATGATAAAAAAAGTCCTCTGATTTCCTACAAGTAAAATCTCTTCTCAAACCACCTTCTAAGATCAGAATTTATAATGTTCATTTGAAAGTGCCATCTATCCAATGGAAAACACATTTTATCCGTAGGCTGGCAATAAAAGTATTGTCGAAACTTTCCAAGAAATTGGTTAATCTGTTTTGGCTTTATTGTATCCTCAGGGCCACAGGGTGTGACCAGGGCTCGGAAATCCCAGTGACTAATGGCTACTGCTCTTCCTCACAGGGTGACAGTGGTGGACCTCTTGTTTGTGAGCAGCCTGGAGGACAGTGGACACTGTTTGGGTTAACTTCATGGGGCTCCATCTGCTTCTCCAAAGTCCTGGGTCCTGGAGTGTATAGCAACGTGTCCTACTTCGTCGGATGGATTGAGAAGCAAATATACATCCAGACCTTTCTCCCACGGAAGCCAAAGGCTGATCAGAGCCCTCTGCCAGCAGCACAGAGAGAGAATGGCCGGGCCTGAGATGAGCTCCCTGTGGAAGCTGGAAGGAGCCACTTCATCTGGACAGGAAGCTCCAAGTGGACTGGGAATTTTAGTTTGCTTCAGACCAATTTTATTCAATTTTCCCCCCAACGTTTTTGTTAATTTAAAATTTTATGAAAAGCTTAAAAACAAAAGCAGAGTGGGTGTTTTCTTCTGCCAGCTCTAACCTTGACTGCAGCATGAAATTACAGATCAACTCTGTAGAGATTTAAAATATGCAGCCCTTAAATTTAACAGGTTACAAAAAGTTCCCTTTTGTTCTGTCCTGGAAGGAACACCAACCCAGGCTGATGGAACTCCCGTTTCTGTTTCTCAACCACAGCAGCTTAGGTGAAAATTTCAGCATTACCAGTGATGACTGGCTCTTGATTTACAATTTATGTCTGTACTCTTCTGAAATTTGCATAGGTCAGAGAATTTATGAAAGAAAGCGAGGGAAAAAGTAGCATCCATTTAGGTAACTGAAATCACAACATATGTGCCAAGCTCTCTAGACACTAACCCTGAAATAACAATTCTGTCCATTCTGGATTTAAATCAAGTTTGTAATTTTAGAGGAAAGCTCTGTAGTTCTTTCCCCATTTCTGGAGCTTTTCTTATCAGCTCGTTGAGATTTCAACAATTAGGTCAATATTCATGGAGAATATTTTGTCCTGTCTGTGTTAAAAGGAAATAGAGATTAAAGTTTATCAAAGGAGAACCTGCTCTAGATTGAAGAGATGCAGTTGTTTTTAAAAGAAAATTACAATCATCACTCCAAATTAAATATGACAATTTTGTTTTCCGGTGTCCATCTATAGCAATAAAGTCATAGAAATATATTTCAAAGCACAGAGACATTTCACAAAGTGACACACTTCGTAATTTCCCCCTAACTATGTCTAACATCTGGTGTTGCCCTTCCTTCTCACTGATAATTAAAAACAAAATCTTAAAAGTTGCTTTTAAACATTAGGACACTTTACATAAATCAATTTCTGAAGCAATTAGTGGTTAGAAGTCTTGTTGGCTACGAAAAACTTCGAGGCACAAATCTTCAGAGATACCTAATTTAATTAGTTAGATGGCTACTTCGCAACATGCCTTTTGGACATGCAGAATTCGCTACTAATCTCCACCAGCAACCTGGACTGCCTCGGCATTCCAAATAAAGACTACCTGCAATTTTATGCGTGTAGTTTTGTATACACCTTTTGTATACATCTTTTCTATGTGCAGACATATTTTTAAATTCAGAAAGTTGTTTTGACACTTACTTTCCATGTTACTCATCTTCTGTCTCATAGTTTTTATAAGCCTAGAGAGTGTGTGAAATCCCACCACTGAACTATGGTCACATGTATGAAAGTTGTCAGTTTTATTGTAGTTGTAGGCACCCGCTTAATGTAACAACTTTTAGCTTCGCTTAACTTGTGTTCAGTGAAATGTACATATTGTACTTATTTTAAATAATTCTGAATACAGATAACGTGTTACTATCTTTTTGTATGAATATGGAACCAGGAAGTTGCTCATTCCTGTCACCGCATGCTGATGCCAGGTTTCCCACCAACTATTTGTCCCGTATCTTGACTCTCAAAAGTACTTGTTCTTTTAGACAATCACTGGCTCTTTTGTTAATCTGAAATTAAGACATTGTTAATGGATTCAAATTAATCATTGTCCAATGAAAACTTTAGCCCTGGTAAAAGCAAATGAACCTTTAATATCAAGAGTATGTTTTGAGAACTGATTCAATTCTTTCATAAATGTTTTGGAGAGGTAACAAAATTATGTCCCCAAATGTATACAATTATTTTTTTAGCTCAGAAGAGCAAAGATATATTACTTTATCACCCAAAATTTGGTGAAAGATGAAATAGATCACATTGGCTTGGGTAATTTTATGTAAATGAATTATTTTCTTATGCAACCCTTTAAAAGTTTAATACAAGCCAAAAACCTCTTCAGCCTAGGAGCCAGATGTTTCAGAATTCAGAATTTTCTGAATTAAAAAAATAGTTTAATACATAGTAATAAAATACATTAACATTTTTGTTTCAAAGAATAATTACATGAAGTATATAAATAACCTCACACTTGTTCAGGACATTGAGTTTGTAAATAATTTGTGAAAAATTTTCCAGTTTTCAGAGTCCTGAGGATTTTGAAATTATAGATGTAAGATTGTAGCCCCATAACATGAATACTCAATATGTTCCTTTATTCACATATGGAGATAACTCATGTCTCAAAAGCTGATCTTTGGCGTATTCATTTTGGCTTATTCTTTTAATCTTCACAATATGATTTTTTTTTTTTTTTGGTGTGGTTTTTTGGAGACAGGGTCTAGCTATCCTGTTTGGGCTGGCCTTGAGCTCATTTTGTAGCCCAGGCTGTTCTCTAACTCTCTACAATCCTCCTGCCTCAGCCTGCCAAGTGCTGGGATTATAGTGCCAGCTACTATGAGGATCCCAGATGATACTACATCAATGATTTTTCTCCATTAAAAAAGGCTGAGACAATATTCTGCAAATGCTGTGATTTGATCCTTTTCCTTGTAAGTTCCAGAACCCATTATAGTTGGAGTCAGTCTGTGTTTACAGAACAAATGACAGCTTTTCAGTCCACACTATTTATTAAATAGTTTATTTACAAAATTCTTAAGGAAGCAGAAGGCCCTTCCATTAGCCGTGTGGCATTTTAAAAGTTCCACAACTCAGTCAGTATAAAAGATGATTTACAGTAATAACAGAAGATTACAAAAACAATGTTGGACCAGAACAGTGGGCAGCATGTTCCAAATTAAACCCTGAGAATAACTGTTTAATGGTAATAAGACCCTGATGTGGCCACTGGACGTTAGCATGGCGTTTCATGAAAGGGATTCTCCTTGTCTGGTGACTGGTGACAGCTTTCTGATAGAATTTTAAAATAACTTCAACATGAATATTTGATTTTATTATAACATGTGGCTTTACTTGCATAAAATAGTTTCTTGGTTCCAAGGAAAGCCAGTTTATATGATTTGTAACAGCTGTAAACGTGTTATAGACATTCCAGTCAAATGGCATTAAAAAACAAGTTTTTCTAAGAAGGTCAGGGAAACTCCCCTGAGAAAAATCTGTATTAATCTCAATCCATATTTCACTTTTTCAAAGGCCACAACACTAGAAAAATTATTGGGGGTTGCAAAAACGAAGCCTTTAGTTTTGAAGGTTGTTTTGAAACTGTCTCATTTTGAGGAAGCTATTTTTTAGAATACAGGAAATTGCCTTATGGATGGGCGGTAGGCATGGCTGATTCTGCCCGCCCTATGGCTTCTGTTTCCCAATTGACCACAACTGCACAGAGGGAGACCTCATGAGAGCTCTTTTCTTAAGGATTATAGAGGAACAATTCCTGAACAATAGCATCCCTCCTTCCCTTTCCTTACTGAAGTTCCACTTCAAATACTGAAATGAGCGGAGAGGTATGCTTAAAATCTCCCACCAGAAGGCTGAAGATATCCTTCCAGAGGAAATAAAAAGCTATTGATAATCACTAACTACATTTTCAAGAGTTTACTTATTACTGTATTTTACCATTGCTGTTGAAGAGCTGTTAGAATTTATCTGTAAATTATCCATTTATAATATACATTCATATGGAAATTTCCTTTGAGTCCTAATTTTTCAATCTAATTTGTTCTTAGTTGTTTCTGAGACAGCATCTTATTATGTAGCCCAGGCTGGCCTCAAACTCATGATCTTCCTGCTTCAGCCTCCTGAGCTCTGAGATTATAGGTATGCACCAGCACTCCTAGCTAATTTAAAAAATGCTAATGGGAGCCTGCTTTCTTAAAGCATTTCCTGAGAATATGAGAGCTCCTAGTAAAAATAAATGAATCTCAAACAAATCCTTGCGACAATATTTGCATTTCTAAGTCAATTAAAATGCTTTTATAAAATCCAAACATTTCATAAGAGCATTTGATTCTGACTTAAATATTTGACTTTTCTCACTCTGTTAGGTCAAATTGTATTCCTCTTTTACGACTATCTATACAAACATGCAATAATGGTCATCATGTCAGCTTGCCAAGCGGTAAGATGCTCACATTCCTTACGGAAAGCTGTAAATCATCTTTGCCTGACAGAGGTGCTATTTCCGAATCCTTTCAAATTTGAAAGAACAGTTGCATCTCAACAGGGGTAACCTGGCTTTTTCATATTTTAGGTATTTTAGGTTCAATTCCGTCTGAGGCCTCAGCTGCAGAGTAGCCTGAATCCAAAGCAGTTTCACAGAGAGGCACATCTCCTTGCTCGGCTGCACAGGAAGTCCCTGACTTCACTGCGAGAGCCGCAGAATGGCCAGCCACGGGTCTCCTTCCTGACTTGCCAGTGGATTGGTCTGCACACTTGGAGGTCACCTGGTTCTTCTTTCCAGCCCCTCTCCATTTCTTAAGCGCTTCAGCCCTTTCCTCTGGCGTCAGTCTGTCCAGGTGCTGAGCTCTCAGAACTGAAGATGGAAACAGAGATCCCTGAAGAATTCGGTATGTAAACCTAGGTGAAAAGGAACATCGCAGGATTAAATTCGGCTCCAATGCACGATAAGATCCACAAAAATTACCAATTAGAAAAAGTAAAAGAACAGAGTGGCCATTTGGCTCCTGAAGTTAGGGAGTTGGGTAAGTGAACTACAAAATGCAGATAAAAAAATACTAAATAAACTAATATTTGTAAAGCACTTAAAAATAGGGCCCTACAAGTGCTTGGTAAATAAAAATAAGGTCCGTGAGAGGACATCTATCAACAGTTGCCACATTACAGGCTTACTGTTTGGTTAAATGAGATAATACACATAAACCACGCAGTGTTGCACTTACTCAGGATTCAAAAAGCATTAGCTCTAGTTCCTGTAGCTACTGTAACAGGTTACCCCAAAATTGTTTCTTCTAGAATAAGCTGGTAGTTGTTCTACCAAGTAATATTCTCAAAAAAAAAAAAAGTATGAGTCCCCTATGAATGTCATGAACTTCATGCCATCAGTAACGAGGACCCCCCCCCCCCCATCTTTCTTGTGCTGCTGAGATGGTGAAGGGACCCAGGGCTCACAGACCTAATCTCTTGAGCACTTTGCAAAAATGCTGTGCACCTATCCTGGTGGCCCTCTCTCTAGAACACAACCTTAGCAACCTCTTCAAAGGAGCAACTTTTACAATTTGGACAGGCTGCAAATGTCCTAAAGCTCATTTTGTTTAGCTTAAGAATTTTTCTCTCAATTACTTACTTTCCTCTCACCGTTTACTGTAAACAATGAAAATAAACCAGGCTACACCTTTAACACTGCTTAGAAATCACCTCAGACAAATATCTAAGTTCACTTATCTAACAATATCTAAGCTCACTTGTTTATAAATTCTGTTTATACATCATTATATGTAGGACATAGTTCAGCTAAGCTTTCTGTCACTATATTTCAAAGACATTCTTTCTTCAAATTTCCAGTGCAAGTCCACTTTTTTTCTGAGTTCTCACACACTGTGCATTTAACAGTCATTTCTAGCAACATCCTATTTATGGCATATCTGTTCTCTAAGGTGACACAGGCTTTCTCTACTATGCTCCACACTTTTCTTTGCATAAAGTTTATATTCCTCCAACAGTCTGGTTAAGGACGTCTAGGATTTTCCTATCATGTGTCTCAAAATCCCTTCAGCTTCTGCCCAACTCTTAACAGCCACTTCCACATTGCTCAGTTCTATATCATTTTTCTAGGACAGCTGAAACAAATTCTCACCAACTTGGTAAGCTTAGACCAACAAAAGTGTACTCCTTCACAGCCATGGAAGCCAAGAATTTTGAAGTCAATTTCCAGGGCTGAAATGAAGGTACTGGAAAGGTCAGTCTCTCTCTGACTTTTCAGAGAGAGACTCAAAGAAATAACCCAGCCCGTGCTTCTTCCAACTGTAGTGTTTCCTTTTTCCTGTGTCAAATGTCCTTCTGCTTCTCCCTCTTAAGGACATGCGTGCTTGCATTCAGGAACCACCTGCATAATTCAGGGTAATGTCCATACCTCAAGATCTACAATTTAATCACTTCTGCAAAACTCCCCTTTTTGCCACAGAAGGTAAAATTCAGGTTATATGGATCATAGCATGAGTGTCTTTTAGGCAGGGGGTCACTTATCAGCCTACCTCAACAATTAGATAGACATATACTGATGATGATAAGCTTTTTAAGGACATAACACTTCAAGTAATTGCTTCTTTGCAAATTCTACAGATTCATCTTGTCAACTTTTAATCTGAAACAGGTAATAGCAATGAGCACCAGAGACATCTATAGTTTAACAGTGGTGTTGTTAAGCATACAACCATAGCCAACACAGAGTGACTTATGGATCATCTTACACATTTCTAGCAAAGACATGCACTAGCATCAGAGGCTCTGAACTCACCTTCTGATGCTGTTATGGACTGGGGTTGGTAAACCTTTCCTGTAAAGGCCCAGATAGCAATAATTTAGGCTTGGGAAGACAGACAGTCTCTATTGGGACTATTTGACTATGCTACTCTAGTGCAAAAGTGGCCATAAATGATATGTAAAATAAATGAACATGGATAAGTTTAATAAAACTTTATTTACAAACACAAGTAGCAGAACAGATTTGGCCTATGAACTCTATTAGAGAATAAGACAAACTCCCGGTTTTGATTCTTATATCACACTTCGAAAAGGTAGAATAATTATTTTAGTGTTTTTAGCCAAACACATTTTATAAAACTACAGAGGAAAAGCCCTGTATTCAAGAGCCTGTGCATTAAAAATTCACATATTTTTCTTAGTTATTTCCATCTCATATGATATTAAAAATCAGGTTAAACCATGAGGGAAGAATAATTGTCAGCCAGGAAGAGATGCTGTATGGTATTCAGTGCTTCCAGACAGCAGGACAGTAGTTTCCAGATTGTTGCTTATCGTTCAGCATCTCCCCCCCCCCCCGACCTTTTAGAAGCCTCTGTATTTTAGCCACATAGCTGGATTCTGGGTTTCAAACGGAAAAAAATAAAGACAATCTATTCTTTATTTCCTCTCTTTTCCCTTCTTGTGGGCAGCGGTTGGCAAGGATGTAGATATACTAATGAGAAGCCATCCTCAATAATTCAGCTGAATTCTGTTATGGTTTGAATGTGTTTCCCCCAAAACCATGAAATTTAACAGCCACTGTAATAGTATTAAGAGATGGGAGCTGTACGATGGGATTAGGCCAGGAGGGTAAAATGGCCCTTCCACTTTCTACCATGAATATGTAATTCAAGGGGACTTCTTGGAGTGAGAATCAAAAGGCTGGTGGTACCTTGACCTTGGACTTTCCAGCCTCCAGAACTGTAAGCCAGTGCATTTCTCCATGTACGTTTCCTGGTGTGTGGTGCTGTGTTGTACCATAAATAGATCAAGACAAGGACTTGAGATGGCCCAGCAAAAAGATAGAGGAAGGCATCTAGGTCCTTGGATGACTTTATGAAACAAAGCTTCCCTAGCTCTGTGAGCTGGCTACAGAGTAGAATTTTTCATAAGAGCAATACAAATCTAGTCTGTTTAAGTTCTTTTCTTTTCCTTTCTTGTGAAAGAATTACAACCATTATTTTACCCCGTACGAAGACTGATTGGGCCACTACTAAACAGTAGTCTACCATCCATCTCAGGGTTGCTTCAAGAACTCTATACCTACGATTCTATGTGCTGTTTTGAGGACTACACAAATACCATACCTGGGCAGAAGGGCAATACAGGTGGTGAGGATACACACTAAGTAGAATACTGGATCCAGCATATGGTCTTGCATGATCCAGTAGGGGTTGGATGGTGGATTGCAGGTTATACACATAGCTCCAAAGGCCAAGCTAAACAAGAAATACGACAAGATGCTGCCAGTGATCACCAGCACGTGGATCCAGGTCTGCAGGACAAGAAGGGCAGGGAAATGAGCACTCAGTGATGGAGTAAAGCAGCCAGCCAAACCTGCCGTGTTAGAGAGGCAACATGTCCCAATACTTACCAGAGTGAGTAGTGAACCTCAGGAAACAAAACACAGAAGAGGTAAGACAAAGTGTCTTTCACAAACAACTTGTGTGTCTGTCTGAATTCTGCGAAACTAAATCAAGGACCAAAAAGTAATCCTGTTGACAACTTATTCTGTACTGTCCACGAACTAGGTGGCATCCAGATTTCCTTTATCTTGTTATTTATATAGCCACTCATTAGTCTGTTTCTTCATTAAGATAATGTCTCAACCTAGTGATCTTCAAATATTTAGTCTTTCACATACATGTTAAGGGTGCTCACCAATAAGCTCATACCTGTCCCCTATTTCGTTTCTGAATGGCTCGCATTTTGCTTTTCGCTTAGAATTAAGTGTGACCCTGTGATGGGCTCTGACCAGTGAAATAAGAGTGGGAAGGGATATGCAGGTTTATTTGTTATCTCCTTTCCTTCCATGCATATCAAGAAGCTGCCTTTGGAGAGATTCCAGGGAGAACGGCTATAAGACACAGCTCGGTCACTGAGATACCCTTCAGATAATAATTGCTTCTAGAGCTATCTGGAATATCAGTCAAGTTTACACGAACAAGAAATAAATCTTTCTGTGTGACACTATAATCTGGCCGCTTACCTATCCATGTGCAGCTTGCAACATTATTTTTCTGAAGACCAGTTCACTAATTTAAATAGCATAATTTAGAAAGAAAAAGAGATCACTACTTTAAATGTAGTATTATTTGTAATGCTAACGCTGAGTTTGGGGATGGGTGTGTCACTGTTATAAAGAGAAATTAGTAGAAGTTGTAATAAAACACAACAGCACCAGACTTTCTCTTTTACATAATCAGAAGTATGAAAAGACAATCAGCTTCACGTCATATGGTTGGTATTCATTATTCATGCAGTATGCAGAAACACCTAAAATCACAATGCATACTATTGGTGGCACATGTCACACCTTTTAGGGAAATTCTGTCTTTATTAATCTTTTTATTTTGGGGGCTACAATTTTCTTTTCTCTCTATTTTTCCTTTTGGTACCAGAGATCCAACTCACGACCTCATGCTTGCCAGGCAGGTATTTATGCCGCTGAGCTAAATCCCTGGTCCTAGGGGGGCTACAATTTTCAAACGAGATCCAATTTTCCCTTTTTTTTTGGTCCTAATCTTGTGATGTTCTCCCTACAGTAGAGGTTTTCACAAGAATCACGAAGACTGCCTGTTGGTGAATGATGCAAACTGTTCAGAAAATGTTGGCTAACTCCGTAAGACCATGGTGTCTCTAAAACAATGATCTCTTTCTATTGTTTCTTCAATGTCCTTCCTTTTCTCGGAGTCCCATGGCTCCAACATTTGTCTTAAAATATGCTGCTGGCAGAAGTGACTTCAAAAATTTATGCACACATTTAAATGAATTGATATTATAAAGTCAACGTCAAGGAACACTGGGCAAAAACAGACTGGGAAGTAGGGGTGGCCACGAGGCGATGAGGAACAAGCCTCACATACTCAGAACGGTGACCCCTACACACAAGGGAACATCGGAGGCCAGCAGCTCTGCCGTAAGAAAGGATTTTCTCATAATGGATCTTCTCTTAGCTGTTTTCTTTTGCTAGTTTTCACTCTGCTTCTTCTTAGAGAGGATTCGGAGTGTTGTGCCCAGTCTTGATAACGTATGACCCCCATCCAAAGCCTGTGACTGAATCCAGAGCCACAGGATTTCATCCCCAGGGACTAGGCCTGGGGTACAAGGAAGCATGATCAGAAAGAGGAGGATGGGAGCCAGGTCAGACTGGAGTGGCAGCCTGCCCAGCCCGTCCTTTCGTTTCCATTCCTGGGCTCTTCAGAGACCTTATGGCTCTTTAGGGACTCTTTGTTTCGATTTATTTAGTTTCATAATGTTTCTACTTGCTCAAATTAGTCAGACTAGATTGTGGTTGCTTCTAATGTATGAACCCCAATCAACACAATATAATGTTTAAGTTCCTCTGGAACACTGATGTCAGAGCCTATCACAGGCACATCTTCAGGTGTTAACTAAAAATATCTCTTCAACTGCTTAGAAATTAAGTAGCTATTAAAATAAGACCAAATATTTCGGTTCTAGTGTTCCATTTAGTAACCAGTCTGTTATTTGAGTATTTTCATTTTGGGCTCGTTGGGTTTGCACAGATGATTAGGTATAAAACAAATGATGCCAAAAATAAATATTCTACCCTGCTTTAGAAGTTGTTAATGATAACTTGATATAGTTGCATATATTTTATATCCTAACTTCATCTATTTTCTGCTTGAAACCTTCATTACTACAGGAGTAAATCTGTACCAACACTGGTTAATTATTTGTATACTCAAAAATGTTTTGAATACCTGGTATGTACCAGTCTTGTTTTTGACACTAGTACACAATAATGAACAAAGTAGGCATGAACTCCGCCCTTTCAGAGATTATAATGCAAACATGAATCAGATAATCACATAATTAAATGAGTATTTATGCATTACTGTTAGACCTGTGGATTTAAGAGAAGACCAAGAAATGACAGGTGATCAGGAAAGGGCTCTAGAGGAAAACACAGTATTTGTTGAAATTTAAAGTGACCTAAAATAACATTTGAAGTGAGTAAAATCCATGGATATGAGGGGGAACTAAGAATATTTTCATTAGAAGATAAGCCATATGCCACAGCCTATATGTGACAGTAAATTCAATTTATCTGAGTAGTTTACAAGGGAAATAATGTGATTCTGGTTCCTGAATAACTGGAAATGAGGTTGGAGTCAGAAGTAAAGGCATCAGTGTATGAGGTATATTACGGTTTGCATCTAAATATCCCCCCAAAGCCTCATGAGGTCGTAGGACTTTTTTGGAAGTGATGAATCTTAAGTGTGTGATTGATTTGTAGTGCAATCCCAGGATTAAGGGTAGTGGTATGAAGGGTGGGTGACCGCTGGATCAGTCCACTGACTGGCTGGCACCACCTTAATCCCGTCAGACTGGATCCAATACCAGGGACAGAAAGGGGTTCGTCTTGCCCTTTCTCTTGTTGCTTTTGCTGTCTTCTGCTGCCATGAACTGCTGCCCCTCTGCCACACGCTCCCCCTGCCTTGGAGCTGGCTGATTATGGACAGAAACCTCTACAAACTGTGAGCTAAATAAACCTTTCCCCAATTAACCTATAGTGTCGGGTATTTCACCTCAGCAATGAGAGAAAAGAAAGTAGGATAAGGCCTTAGAGATTGTCTTACAGTTTTAGAGTTTATTCCAACTACAAGGGGAAACTACTGAAGGGTTCTGTCCAAGGATCCATAACAGCAGCAAAGATAAAGGCATACAAGCATCACTTACTAAACACACTATTGGAAGGTTGTGGCACAGAGTGTCTTTTTCATTTTAGCCGAAAGGCAACAGTTTGGTCTTGAAAACTGCTGGTTATAGAAGGGTAATTACTGTGCCCACTTTACTCACACCTCCTTGAGCTGTCCACTATGAACACCTTCCCCAGGAAAACCTCCACCTCAGCAAAATGACACTGGATGATCCCCACAAACAGCACGAGTCAGTGTTCTTCTCCAGAATCAGGATTCTTCTCATCAACATTTATTTTGTGGGCGTGGAGGGTTTGGCAGAAGACATTTCCCAAGCATAGAGTTTCAGGCTATCTCGAAGGCATGAAAACCACTCACCAAACTCTTGCTTTCGATGATCAGGTGGAAGAGGATGATGAACAGAGCAGCTGTGTTCAGGGGGTTTCCAAATGTAAAGATGTCAATGTCTGAGCCCTGGTAAGTCTACAAGGAGACGATAACAAGAGGTGAGTGGAGGGTGCCGCACACTCAGTAGTGTGAGTCACCCCACTTTATCTCTCACACAGCTAAGGCTTGAGTCTCTTCTACAGTGTTCCTATGAGGTGGTCATTCAGAGAAATAAATGTTTCCAGAGAAGAGATCCTGCCCTTACATAGGCAAGCCTTCTAATACGTGAACTTTTCAGTTGGAATTCCTCTTTATTATGAGTGATAATTCATCTTTTTGGAAGCTTTTACTCATACTTCCCCCTCTTTAAGACATAATAAATATCAAATTTGTTATGCTTAATAAATCTTGGAAGCAGCTATTATAGCTCCTGTAAGGTTACACCTTTCCTAAGTAAATATTTTCTCCTATATGTCTTCAAGTCCTTAAACCATGCCTCCCATGTCACAATTCTCTAATCTTTTGTCATCTTCTGACTATACTTCAGGCTGCTTGTCTATGTTCTTCTTCAAGTGCAGCATAGCCAGAATATTCTAGTGAGGCCAATTCAAGTGATGTAAACGTGGACTGAAATTATTGCCTTTTTTATTCTTCATATTGTACTTTTGCTATTTACCACCATGATCAAACATGTTGTTTTCTTCTGGGAAGAGCTGCATGTGGACAGGCAGACACACTATGCTGCTCTGTACTTGTTATTAGTGTAAATTTTGAAAATTAATTTTTATAAATTCTTTGGTTGTATTGTCCCATTCTTTACATGTGAAATAATTTTTTGTATAAAACTTGTAAATTTTAACAATAGTTTTGGAAACTACACAGAGGAGCTTAAATTTAATATCTGGATGTCATGTGGGGAGAATTACTTCAACATTCACTAATCAAAGCTCTCATTTTTTGATTTCACTTTTCTGATTTTTGACTAATTATATGATTGGAGATTTAATTTTACTCTATTCATTGACAAAAATTATTAAGTAGCTCAGGATTAACAAGAAACCCAAGACAGGCATAACTAGACATTAATCTATCATCTACCATATGTGGGGAGATGGTTATACTTTAGTCAATTAATAATCAATTTGACTATGTGAGAAATCCACCTTCTGTAGGCTGGCACTGCAGGCAAAGTATAAATAAACACCCATGATTCATCAGTATCACATACTTTGCATGAGTGATGACTTACAAAGTAAGGCACAAAGAAACAGACCAGGCTTTGGTAAAAGGCATCCAACAAAGTGATCCAGAAGGTGAGGGGTAAGTACGCCTGGAAACCAAACACACATCAGGGAAGGAACAACGTTAGTCTGGTCAAAGCGAAGTGAAAATCAACATAAATCAGTACAAAGTTTTCTTTTCTGACACTCCCTGTCTTCATTCTTCCACTCATTAAACAGGAGGAACCTGTCAACAGTCGTGGAAGAATGAAAATAAAGGCGGGTTCACAACTGAATGTAGAAAAGACAGTCCTTCAATGAATTCTTATTCAACTCATTGGAACCATTTAAATTCTAACCTTACCTTATCGTTATCCTATTTTTCATCTGTTTGTTTGGTTTTTCTTCTTCTTCTTCTTTTTTATTTTGTGTGTGTGTGTGTCAGGAATTGAATCCAGGCCAACCATTTGCTGTACTACTGAGAATTACACCATCAGCCTCTTTTGGATCCATTTTAAATCCACCTGAAGTGAGGCTAGTAGTAACTTTTCATTTCCCATCACCAGAAAGAACAATTACCAAAACTTCTCCAAATCCACCCATTTCCTCTCACACTTCTCCCTTGTGTCAGTTCACATCAACTCTCTAACGGATACGGGAGCCATCTAACTGCTTTCTTTGCTCTCACTCAATATAATCGCCCCTTACCAGCCAGATTTTCAAAAATCTCAATCAGTTCATGTCATCTTCCTAATTATCGAGTTGATTCTTTTCAGTCACATGGAAGACTTCCAACTTAGTTTTCAGTATAATCTGAGTGCCTTTCCACAACCTACAAGGTCATGTATGGTGTGCTTGTGAAATATCTCAGCAGGGTAACTTACCCATCAACACAGATTTTCCCTGGATGGCGAACATTCTTTCCTCAAGGATTCACCTCCGCTATTCTCCCTGCCAGGATAGTTCCTTCCTGTCCACCCTTAGGTTAAACACCACTTCTCATGGTGGCACCCAGGCTGAACGTTACTCCCATTCAATCACTATTGGGGCATCCTTTCATAGCATTCTTCAAAATCAGAAACAATTTTATGTGTTCACCTGGTGATTTTCTGCTTATCTCAACTGAATGCAACCTTCATAGAGTAAGACTTTGACTTCACTTCAAATGATTAAATAGTGGTTAGCACAAATAAAATAGCCAACAAGTATTTACTGAGTTAGTAAGCAATCCTACAACATCATGTGTGCTATACTGCTTCCTACCCCGACCTTATAGAAAAATACCAAGTAGATATACTCAAGTCAAATGATCAAAATTGGATTCTCAATCAAGACCCAACTCTGACTGTGTAGGAATATGTATGAGGAATTGTGGGGCTGAATTTAGAACTCAAAGCAAAGAGTACCATGACTTATTAGGGAAGTGTGCCATAAACAAAAATGGAAACATATGTATCATATTCTTCAGCTAGTCTTTTCTTAACATGTTCATTTTAGCCTTATTGTCTTTCAAAAGCAGAAAAGACACTTTCTTTCTTGAAAATGTCTGTTTCCTAAGAACAAAGCACTACAAACATACAAATTCTTTTACATATGCTTCCATTCTTCAGAAGACTATACTATTTACATGTTTCCTTCATCTCTTTGATCTTTAGGAAATCAAAGGAATAAAAATTCATCATTCCCAGTCTATTTTTCCCTGTATCTTCTTTTATTTCATATTTCCTAACTGGAAATGCTGATGGAATATTCTCTTTCTTCATCCAAGTGTCCATAAAACCCACAGAAAGCATGTATAGTGGAAAACAATGTCAGAGACAAAGAGGTAATCAAGTGGCCCCGAGAAGAAAGGATGATTTGGAGATAAGTTAGAATGTAAGTTCATATATCTGGGGCTATAGAAGTTGCTGGAAAACTATGTTGAAAAGGTAAAAAAGCACAATTCACCCATATTCACATGCATGAGAAGGAAAAAAGAGAATGTATCCAGGACGAGATAAACTGAAGACAAGAATTAACTCAGGGGACATCTTGGAAACTGAGAGGAAAAATGTGAACATGAAGTAAAAGCCAGAGAAGGAGACTGTGTGAGGGATGATCGACAGTTAATAAGCCATTGCTTCTGGAAAGGAATCTTCTGCCTTCCAGAGCCGTCTCACTCAGGGGAGAGAGATTCTGTACCCTGAGAGAATATATTCTACAGGACCAAAGACAGAAAATGACCTAACCATAAAATAATGTACTTGGAGGCCAAGTTCAAAAACAGGACAAATTCTGGAAGGTAAAGTCAATAGTCACGTGCTGAGAATCTGTCCTCTACTATGTTCTATAACACTGGCTAGCTCAGTAGGATGATGTGTACAAAGAAATGATAACAGGGGTTAACAATGGGGAACAGTGATCTCATCCTCCTGAGGATAAGATAAGCTACCACCTTCAGTGTACTCAAATGGGCTTTTAAAACATTAGTGTAAAAAGTTTGACTGAAAGTCTCTCCTCTACTCCTCTTTCCCCACTGGACTTGGAACCCTTCAGTGATATCAAGCACACATTCCTGCATCTTGGCCTTGAACTTTCAGCCTGTCTAGAGTCTGTGTAGTTTCCCTATATGAATGGATTGGATATTATTAAAGGATTATAAGAATTTCTTCTTCCTGCAAACGGAAAATGTAGCTTTTCTGTGTTGGCTATTTCTGGTAGCTAAAGACTCTAAATCATTCTTCATCACAGAAAGTTGGCTCAAGCAAAGATAAAGTTAGTCTGATAAAAGTAAATGCACCATTGAAAATACTGAGAGCTTAATGTGGCTGGAAATTCTACATGTATTATCTTTGTTGATTCTCATATCATATCCATAAATAAATGGAAGCTCAAGGAAGTTTAAGGACTTAACAAGGTCACACATCAAAGGACCCAACTGAAAATCCTGGCTAACCATAACACCTTGGTCCTGATATACGTGGCTCTGTGTCCTTAGACTAGCAAGTGGAGTCTAACACATGAATTTCTTAAGATGAGTCCCATTATGGTTTTCTAGTACCACTGGGGAGGATGCTCTTCCTCAATCCTGTCTGTATAGTTCAGTTCTGTTCCTGGGTATCATTCCATACCTGGTGTCTTGGTTACATGGAAAACAGGGCAAAAGACATGTAACAAGAGAGACTCAAGGGTTAAAGCCAGGAAATTTACAGTGGCTTGAGGAATGACAGTGTTCTCTCACTATTACTGCTGGATTTTGTTAGGATTTAAGCCAATGTATTTCACTTTTTCATTAAGTCATTCTGAAATGGGCTCCCCGCCCCACTTCTTTCCTTTTTTTCTCCTTTCCTCTTCTATACTCCCCCCACCCCACCTTACAACTATTAGAACTCTAATAGTGAATCTTGTAATACTGAACAGATCCACTCAACTCTGTTCATTTAGTGGTGTCTAAGGCTCCAGGTCCCCCTCTGTCTTTTGGATTCTGAGGATGATTTTGTGATAGCACCTTGGATTTCTGGCTAATCAATATCCTGATGGGAAACATCAAAGTTCTTTCTGCAGCTTGGCATAAAGGTAGACAGCACGGACATGGGGATCAAGGTTCTCACAAGGTCTGTTTTCCTGATCTACAGAGTACAGAGTACAACAGTACCTGCTTATGGGGGTATTTTGAGAATTAGGGATTATGTATGTTATGCACTTAGGATAGTCCCAAGCATTACATAAATGAGTATCACTGCCACGTTAATGTTAGTTACTATTAATTTTATGAAAGACAAAGTTAGAGTATTTAGAGAGCCACCCCACCTAATTGGCTACACAATCCTCCATGTAACAAACAGTGTGTGACTGAAGCATTGAAAGAATATTGATAGAAGTAAATGCACCATTGAAAATCCTGAGAGCTTAATGTGGCTGGAAATTCTACATGCGTTATCTCTTTGAAATCAAAGCAGTGAAAATTCATTGTTTTCAGTCTATTTTTCCCTGCAGCTTGTTTAGGAATACATCCGAGGTTGATGCCAAGGACTCAAAGAGAAAGTCATTAAAATCACTACTATTTTGCATGACAGCAGGACCTAAAGAGTTCAGTGTGGCCTTTGGAAGCAGACTGAATGGGCTCAATGTCTGAATGTGCCATTTATTAGCTGTGAGATTCTTGGAAAATCACTTAATCCCTCTGAAATTCAAGTCCTTCATTTTAGAATGGGAACAATGCATGGTTCTGTCTCGAAGTGTTTCCTTAAAGATAAATGAGACAGAGAATGTTTACTAGTTAGCACAATATGTGGCACATGGGTTCAGTAAGTGCTACAGATCATTAGCTTTAAGGTCTCAAACACTGGACTCTTTAGTACACAAAAGCTTTCAAAGATTCATCTGTGTTCCTACTGGAGGCCAGTAACAGAGTGTTTGTCATGTGAATCTTGGAAAACAACATGATATTTCAAATAATTTTAAATAGTTCTGAGTATGCTGCAATATTTGGGCTGGGCTGACTAGAAGATGTACTGTCTTTGCCCATAGATGTGTATCTAAGAAATTTTGCTTTGGTACTTACCTCTGATTTCTGACCACTCTGATAAAGTTCAGGCAGTTGCAGGAGGGTATCTGCAGATACATCTTTTTCTAAAACACCATAAATGATGGGAGGAGCAGATGTGAAGAGGAGATTGAAGAAGATCAAAACCCAATAGTCAGTCATGGATGTTCCTGAGAATCCACAAAAGAACTGGTACCAAAAAAGGAGGTTCACATAGGCCTACGGACAGGAAGAAGGACATCCAGATTTTAGAGAGAGGACCTGATTTAGAGAGAACCCTGACCACCCATTCCATAGGCTGCATTTTGAGTTGTTGGACCTTAGCCTCTTCACAATTTTGCCACTTACCAAATGGAATATGTTACATTTTTTTCTGGGTAAACGTGTTTTTCCAGACTACTTGTTATATGGGCTGGTAGTGACCTAAGTGCTTTATAAATAATTCATTTAATCTTCATAATAACTGAGAATTACTGTTGTTCCCATCTTACATCGGAAGAAAAACTGAGTCCAATAGATGAGATGTGTGTGCATCCTCAAAATTCATACACCAGCTCTTAATCCCCCATGTGATGACATCAGGAGGTGAGGCCACTGGGAAGTAATTAAGTCACGATGGGATTAGTGCCTTGCCAAATGGACCAGAGAGAGTTCTTGCTTTCCTTTGCCATGTAAGGACAGCATGAGAAGAAGTGTGTAATTGGGAAGAGCACTGTCATTAACACCAGACACACTGGTACCACGATCTTGGATTTCCAGCCTCCACAATATAGTGAGAAATAAGTATCTGTTGTTTATAAGTCACCCACCTATGCTGCTTTGTCATGGTATCATGAATGGACTAAGACACTGAAGCACAAAGAGACTATGGATGGACCTTACTCAAACCTAGTGGAAAAGTCAGTGCTCTCACTAAGACATTTTAGCTCTAGATGGCACGGAGCAGGCACACTACAAACTTCATTCTCTTCTTTCTGTGTCCACCATTACTGCTGGGTTGTGGGACTGGATGCTATCAATGAAGTGGCCAACCATCCCAGTTTGCTTAGGGCTGAGGGTTTTCCCAGGCTATGGGGTCTCATGCTGAATTGGAACAGGACAAATGGTTGATTGTCCCGGACGCCAGCACAGGCCACATGGCAGGACACTGCACCTAAACTTTAAGCGACTTTGTTTCAAATTCCAGGAATACTTAATGATTATATGACTTCAAGGCATTTTCCTAACCTCTCTGAATTTTAGCTTCTTCCTGTGTAAAATGAGTATTAGAACATCTCAGATTAGAAAGTATTCATGACTTTGAAAGTATCTGTGGTGGATTAAAAGCTGGTAGTCAACTTTAACACCAGCTGAACTGAATCAGTGCGGTGCTGAGTGTAGATGCCCCACCTGAGGACTGTTGCCAGCATAAAGGGAGACCTGGAGAAGAAGAGTGGTGTTGTGAGTTCTCCTAAGTGAACGTTGTTATTTGGAGCTGTTGGTTCTCCTGCAGGAGCTTGTCATGCTGGCTTCCTGCTATAAATTCTGAATTCGGCTGTTCTTATTATTGGAGGGGCTCAGGATTTCATTGTCGCTGAGGATGGCTATGGTACTTTTTGGGGGAGCCCTGGTCCTTATTTTGAGTGTTGCTTCTTGGCTCCAGTATAGAACCCTCAACCTACTTGCACAGATCTTTCATCCTATTGGCATAGACTTTCTAGCTTCCACCACTGACCTTGGGCCTTCCCAGGGCAGATCTGTGAAACAGACTTGCAAGAGTCATTGTCATGGGCTCTGGGCCCCCAGTTGGTCTCGTGGGAGGCACTACCAAGAGATCTAGGCCCTCAGCTGGATTCTCTAGGTCTTTAGTGTGTAGACAGATTTCTTGCACTTTGTTTGTGTTTGACTCCTTGGGTGACTATAATAAATAATACTATAAATTATGTGTTCTGTATTATTTTGTTAACATGGCTCCTTTTTAAAAGTCATAGATCATGGCTTTGCCCAGAATCACAGAAACTGTACATCCCATATATTTTTATAAGGTATCTGAGATTTGTTAAACTTTGATTAACAATTAACTAACTTTGATTAGTTAAGTAATGAGAGCTTCCTAAAAAGGTCATTGTGTAGCAGGGAAAGAAATACTCCTGCACACACAGATCTCAGGTATACAAATACACACTGGGATATCTTAAAAATCACCTAATAATATTTTTCTTAAAGACAGTATTTAAATAAAATGATACAAATTTAAGTCTACTACTAACATGTTATCTATAGAATTTAAAGAGTAATCATAAGTTTGTCCTAAATTCATGGTGCTGTTACATAATCAGTCCACCGAGCATCCACCTGATTTTATAGACAAGAAGACTGAAATTCAAGTGAGATGCTCAAGATTAGAACACATATCTTCTAATACAATTCTACCTTTTAGGAGTTAAGTATGACAAAGTTCTGTTACCATCAAATAACTCCCAAGCACAAATAGATTTCACAGGATGGACAGAAATTCTTATACCTGTGAGTTCGAGCCAGCTATGGGCCATGACATTTTCCTGGGTTTTGATTTGTATCTGTCTTCGATATGCTATAGGACACACCAACTTGGGAAAAGCAGATTTTTTTTTTGTTGTTGTTATCACCAGTAAAATGGAAGCAAATCTTCTCATTTTCCACTGACAGCCTTAAAAATTTAATAATTCTGCTTGTCATGATCTTTCTATAAAAGGTCATAAATTGGATTTTAAATGAACCAGACAGGACTTAATTGAATTTAAACGCACAGGGAGTAGAAAATGCTAGCATTTGGACAAACCTAGCAACTTGCTGTCAGCAGTCTGAACACACACACTCTCAGATTATTTCTGGTAAGACAGCAGGATTGCTCCTGGCTATTCGCAGAACACCAATAAGTGAAGTGCGCTTAGCCTAAGACAATTTCTCTTCTTTCCTGATGCAACCAGCTGGGTGAGTAAGGGCAGGGGAGCAAAAATTCTCTGGAGTTACGTACCACATTCTTGTAGAAAAAGTAGAGAATCATGTTGGAAAGGCGCATGTAACACCAGTGCCCATGGACAAGAAGGAGTTTCCTGAGATGTCTGAACTGAGAAATGGCGAAGTCACTGGCCATCACAGCCTGCATAGACAGAGGGGAGAGAAGACCACCCTGGGCGATGGGACACAACAGAAGAGATGCAGCCTGCTATGGACAACTGGGCCAGAGCTATTTGCAAATTAGTCATATCTACCTTATAAGTAGATCCCCTCGCGCTCCATTAAAAAGAGAGGAAACACACACACACACACACACACATACACACACACACAGAGCAGCCACGTAAGTTCAGCTTTAATGAGTGGCCAGTTTTCATGGGAGGCCTAGCATTAACTACTGTTTCAAACTTCTCTTTGGAAACTACTCATGACGCAATTTTAGCAAATAGACTTTACCTAGAAAGCAGTAAAAAAACTCTCATCCTCTGCATTTCAAGATACTTTTTCTTCTTCTCAATAAAGAGAATATTAAGAAGTCATGGTTTCATATGACTTTTTATAATGTGTCAGTCAAAGTAGTATTGAATCTTTTTCATTTACCAAGACACTATAATATACAATTCTTGGAAAGCCTAAACCCCTCAGTCTAACTTCCCAGCCAGCAGTTTCTCCATATATAAAATCGCCTTTCTGATCACAGTCTCTGATACACTTTGTGCACAGCGTTTACACACCTGCATGCCTTCTTGGCCTGAGACCCCTATCCCAATGTCTGCCACTTGGATCATGCTTACATCATTGGCGCCGTCACCTACAAAGGCAAAAGAAAAGGTGAGAAACATAAGAGGGGTAAATTGTAAATTCTGTAAATTGACAGAGGCTGCTCAAGTGAACATTTAAATCCCTCAAGGTTCGCCCTCCTTCTCTAAAGTCCTAGAAGCTGCCTAAGCAGAAATTAAGTGTGACATCCCACTGTCATCTGGAAGGATTTCAAATTTGATACTGTCTTAAAATCCTTCGTGCTGTGGCACCTAGCCAGAATGATTTCCCTTGCTTATGCCATCCTGTTAACTTTCAGATATAACCTACTCCTATGCTATTCCACAGACATTTCTCTGTCTTTGTCGTAGTGCCTTCATCACCCCAACTCATTCTTGTTGGATTTCAATTCTTCTTCTCTCAGCTAGATGTCATTTCCTCTGGGAAATCCTTCTCATAGTCCCTTTAAATCCAAAGCTTCTAGTACCTCTCACACCCATGTGCATTATGGTTGCACATAGATTTTTTGGGTCTCCTTGAACACTGTACGCATCTCAAAAAGTATAACACTCCTGCTAGTAATAATCATAAGCTTTTCCCAAAGGCCCACTAACCACTCATTTGTCTTTTGGTGATAGCATCCTGATACTTCCTTGGGAATTCTGACTCTATGTGTTTTGTTAGAAGGAATCCAAATACTCATATGAAAATGACAGACCTGAAAATCATCTTCTATTCTCTGGCTGCAGTGGCTTTTTCAAAGATGAACATGACTCAATTAATACAAAATCCAAAAATTCTAGCCTCAATAACATCTGGATCTAGCAGCTTGAGTAATTCCTTTATTTACATGTGTATTGATAATTGAACAAAATTCCACCCTGCTTCATCTACACACTGGACTACTTCAGAATTTTATCTACTTCTCCATTTATGCCCATTCTGTAGTAGTCTTGTAGTACCAAGGTTCCAGTATTCACTAGACTTGTGGCTCACAGGCTGATATCTGCACCTAATTCCTCACTGCTAACCAGACTTTTGTTCTAGTCACCTACTTGACATCACTGTTCCCACATTTAATGGACTTTTCCAACTAAGTGAGTGGAATGGACTTTTCAAACTGACTCTCTTAGTAGAATCCTTTCTATCCTTTTATAAAACCTTGGTATTCCCTGTGACAGATCTTTCTCTCAGTAATATCATCAGTGAATGCCAGCAGCAATTTCTTCAAACCACGTCCATTGTGTGGCCATGTCCTACCACCTCCTCTGCTGCCATCTTGGACCAAACTACCATCAACTCTTGCTTCAGTTATTTCAATAGCCTCCCAACTGATCTCCTTAATTATGTATTTGTGGCTCCACAATTACTTTCATACAGTAGATAATGTGATCCCTTTAAATTCAAAGGAGACCATGAGCCCACCTCTGCTTAACATCTTCCATTTGCTTCCTCCACAACTTCATCATGGCCTCCAAGACCTTATGTAGTCTGGCCACCTGCCACTTCTTACCCTTCACTAACCTGCAGAAAACTACTCTTTGCTCCATCTCCTTTGGCTTCAGACATGCCAAGCATGGTCCACCTCATGACTTGTACTTTCACTGCTGTATATGCTAGATCCCACATGGGTCATTTTCATTTCCTTCAGGTCTCTACTCCCAGACAAACTCAGAAGGGAGACCCCTAAGAAACTGTATTTAAAATACCAACCTCTTCCAACAACCTCAATGTTTTACATCCTCTTTGCTCTGCTTTTTTCACTAACATTTGTCAGTATTTAATATCCTCTACATTTATGTTTTTTTTGTTGTTCTTTAATTTACACCATTCTACTTCATGTAAGCTCCTTAAGAAAAAGAACTTTGTTCATGTTATGTACTTTTTCATCTACATTCTCCAAAAAGCTATCTGGTACAAAAACTCAATAAGTATTTGCTGAGTAGAGAATTAGCCATGGACTTCAATTTATTTTTCTTGAAAGTAGATTCCTATGTTTTTCAGTTCTGTGATAAAGTATTTCACTCTACTTAAACCTGTGAATTTGGGAGTCTGATGTCACCCAAGGAATCCTGACTATTGTATTGCTTTCCATATCACACTGTTAACTGCTAATTCATTGCAGATGGTCAAATAAGTGATGAAAAAAGAGGAAAGGGGAAGACAAAGGTCTGGGAGGAAGGCAGACACAGTTGTAAACAGAAGAAAAGACAGACAGACAGATCTGCTTCCGGTGTGTGAAAAGGAGAAGCTGGGCTTGGCCCCACCCCACTTGACTCACCAATGGCTAGAGTCATCACCTGGAGATGGTTGCGAACCAGCTTCACCACCTGGCTCTTCTGCAGGGGCGTGGCTCGGCAGCAGACCACAGCGTGGCTCCAAGCAGTCAGCTCTAGGAACTGCCTCTGCAGACTCTCTTGCAAGACAAACTCCAGGGTGGTCCCAGTAATAATGAGTCCAGCCCGTTGTCCCGAGTTCTGGGTGATGCAAGGCTGAATGGAACCATTCTTTAATGATGCTTGCTCTGGAGAAGTTGGAGTTTTCCTCTGAAGTTCTTGCAAAATTATGTTCATCTGCACTTCACAGGCATCCTTGCAAGGAGAGGCAAGGGTTAGCTTTGGGGTTCTGTTAGAGAGCTGGCTAAAATTTTCATTGTCATTTGTTAGCAACTTCTGAATGGGGCAACCTTAGGCAGCAAATAGTTGGTTACTTTCAAAACAGTTCTTTTGCAGGGTTCCTGCGAATGCAGGGATGGGCTGGAGGACTAGGGCCACATCTCAGCAAGTTCTACAGCTGAGACGTGTGCATACAATATGAAACAATGGCTACTAACGGCAAAAAGTTGTTAGTGAGGGTAGATGCTCAGTAAATATTTCTTCAATTGGTCCTTTTAAATGCCTTCCAACAAAAACTGGGTATTCATAAATAAACCTCATAACACCACTGATTTCACTCTACAGAAGTTCTTTATTTTCCCTTCACAGAAATTTCTAAGTCAGTGTATGTAGCATATGTACTGCGCTTCTCAAAAATCCGGAAAGATTTTGAGTTTCTACCATGAAGAAATGATAAATATTTCCAAAGACATACACATTTAACCTGATTTAAACATTATACAATGTAAACCGGTATTGAAACATCACATAGCACAATGTGATGTTAGCTAATAAGTAGGTTTAATTTTAAAAAGCTATCAATTAAAAGGCAAAAAAAAAAAAGGTGAAAGACGAAAAGAGAAAACCAGTGTGAGCTATTTTAAAAGTTTAACAACAGGCAAACTGTGTCAGTGTACACAAACTGACCCCCCGCCCCGCTATATTATTTATTTCCTAGAGATAAAACAGTCTATGGCAGGATCTTTCAATCTTGGCACGGAGACATTTGAACCAGATAATTCTTGGCTCTGGGGTGCTGTCCTGTGTAATGTGGTATGCAGAAGCATCTTTGGCTCCTAGTCCTTAGATACCAGCGGTGACAATCAAAATGTCCCCAGATATTGCTAAGATCACTGCATATCCCTGTGTGAGGGGCAAAAAGTGATTTTATGTAACTGGACTAGGTTGTGTTGCACCCTGCTCTTCACAACAGAGTTCACAGTCTCTTATCACAGGTAAGAAAAGTATTTCGCTGGTAGGCATCCCTAGGAAGCCTGGGCCCACAGGCATCCGATACTGTGTCTGGTCTTATGTCTGCAGACTCAGGAACCATCTGAAAGAATGCTCACAGTGTCGAGATTTTCTCCTAGGGAAAGTTTTATTATTTTATCTTCTTCTTTATAGATTTCTATAGTTTGATATAGCTTGAATGTTTAATCATGACTATGCACTATAATTATAGTCAAGATAAAATGAAAACTTCATGTTAAAAAAAAATCTCTAAATCAAAATTAAACCGTAGTAACTGATTACCCTTCTTTTTTTTTCATATGAGTTCACTGGACCCCTCAGCAATTTATATTTTTCATTTAATACCTACGGCAATCCCATGACACGGATATTCCTCTCATACCGCAAGTGAGGAAGAAGACAGTCACCACGGTCACGTGGCTAGTGAAAGGCAGGCCAAGAATCTGTACCCTGGTTTTCCCAGCCACTTGGCCTATACCTTTTTTAGTGAGTAAAGTAACTAGAATTTTCTTGGACTCAGCCCCTGCCAATACAGGGTGCTGGCGAGCGGTGTTGGGTGCCTACGTCACAGATGACTGAGAAGAAGACCCTACTATGCACTGAATAAGGAAAACTCTCCTTCTCCAAAGTGGATGACCCAGCTTAGTGCTAATGGAGGCCTGATCATAAAAGCACAATTAACCAGGCTGGGCACTGGGTCACGATGTCAACCCAAAGGGACACTTTAGATTTCAGAGCTGACAAGCTGCTGTGATGCAATGATACCACTGGCTAAGTGTCACCATAGAGGAAGGAGGAGGAAAGCTTTCAAAGCACAATAAACAATATGCACAAATTGGGAAGGCTCTCACTACGCAAGGAATCTTCTGAAAAAAAATTAAAGGCTAATTTAAGTCATTGAAACATTTATGCTAGGATTTAGTGGCAGGAAAATTTGGTGAAAATTTAGGCTGGGTCTAAATCTCTAAACTTTCTCCTTTAAAAACAACTTTTGTCTTTTCTGTTCTTAGGAGCACTATTTAAGATTTACCACTAGAGGGCATAATCATGCTGAGAGCTTTTTTATAATTAGCATGGAAATATTAATTTACCTGATTCCAATAGAAATTATCATCTTTTACTTGAAAGGGAGGTAGATTCTTGTTTCAATACTTAATATATTTTGTAATTTTGGGTTGACTTGTCAAATCTTGGATAATCCAGTGTGGAGGGGGGAACAAATTTTAAAAAGAAAGAATCTTCTATGGAACTTTATTTAGCAATGATTTCTCTGATTCATTACGATTTTCCACTAAGGTCTTAGAAAAACCATGGCATCCTCTCAAATCTGAGCTAGGTCACTGGAGAAAATAAATATTAAGAAACTAAAGGTTACCAGCTTTGCTTTTTCCTTATATAAATTAAATTCCAAATGTGTCGTTAACTCTGGAAAAACAAAAGGATATGTTTGGTCTCATTATACATACTTTACTTTGGGAATTAAGGATGAAGAGCTTGTCCTGTGGTTCCAGCAGTTTGCACGCATAAGCTATGTTGACAGCTGTCTCCTGCTTGTCCCCAGTCAGCATGCAGATCTTGATTCCGGCTTTGTGAAGAGCTTCTATAGACTCAGGTACTCCCTCCTGCAGCCTGTCTTCAATGCCAGTAGCACCTGAAAAAATAACCAAATTGCCACAAGACTCATAAAAAACCAAAGCCAGCTAAAGCTTATCTTGTCTATAACTACTTCCCAACCTTGGCCAGTTCAATGATGAGCTATACAGACTGCTGAGATCCAGACAAGGTATAAAGACCCAGACAACGCCATATACAAAGGAGGGCTTTGGAAGGGAAGCTTCAGGGATCAATGGATTTATCAGTCTTACTGTTCTTTGTCTAGCTGTCTCATCTATAAATTGAAGTATCTGATTCCACTATTTGTGTAAGTTTGCCCTGTGAGTTTTATAATTCTGTGATACTCCCAAGGGTAAGGAAAGCCTTTAAAGAATGTTCTTGCCAATAAGATACAGTGCCTATCTGCAATGTTCTTTCATAATATAAGTCTTTTTCTGAAACAACTGGGGCTATCTGTATTTTGGAATTAAAAAGTTATTCATATTTTGAAAAGATAGTATGGTACCTATAGGTTATTTTGTAATACCTGTTAATTAAGCACACTGATACTTGTACAAATTTTATGCTAATTAGGATAGCTAATACTATACCTAGTGCTGCATTAAATCGCCTAATTTTTGCTGCCAAAAGAGTTCTGGTGTTAAACCCCTGGAATATTTTTGTTTTATTGATTACTAATGAGGAAATGTGGACCTGTACGACTTACAACATCATAGAGAAATTACGCAGGAAGAGGTATCACTATTCTATTTGATAGATACTAAGTGAGATCATTGTTTTGTGGAATGGAGATCAGAAGCCAGTCTCTTGGTATGTCGGTGCTTTTATTAGAATCTATGCATCCATGTTTAAAGCATGATTCTCAAACCTGACTGCCCTCAGAATTACTTAGGAAGCTTTTAACAATTCCAACATCCAGGGCACACAACAGACCAAGTGAATCAGAATCTCCGGGGATGAGATGCAGGTATCGGCACTGTTTAAAGTTTTTCAGATAATTCCAGGATGCAGCTCACCCATTCATAAGTAGTGTCAGTTGTGAGCTTAGGTTGAAATCAGAAAGTTAGAAAAGAGAAAAGATTTTTATTAGATGAGTTACAGGTGTGGAATATGGACCCTAGATCCAGGTAGATCTGAGTTTCATGTTTGGTTAGTTACTGTTAGTTACTAAGGAAGTCATTGAATTGTTAGTTACTAAGGAAGTCATCGAACTCTGTGCTCAGTTCCTTCCAAATAAGACAGAAATTTGTTGTGAGAATTTTAAATGAAAACACATATTAAGTACATTGTACAATGGCTGGCAAGAAACTTTAACTTTATACTCAAGTCAGGATGATACTTATTTGGCTGCGTACTCTGTGTTAGGTGTCGATGTTTATATGATCATCTTAAGAATGACCACATCAATCCTACCAGTGAAGTCTAGTTCACTTCAGAGGAAAGCAAAAGACAATGGATTGGAATCTGGGTATTGTTTGTAATAGGACAGGCAGAACTACTTATATTTATTAGCTCAAATTGGGGAGGGGGAAGACAGTCATGAATAATATTTAGAGACAACCAATGTTTTCCAAATATTCAGGCAATGCAGCACACTCTACCTACCAAGTAATGTTAGTTTGTTCTCCAGTCTCATGGCAGATTCAATTAGCAATTCTTCCCTGTTGTCAATACTGGTTTCAGCCAAAAAATGATTCCTCAGCCATTCTGCATATTCATGGTCACTCATGACCTGTGGCAGAAAAAAAAAAAGTATTAAGTGTCAAATATCAAACCACCAACTTGATGCAGATATTCTTCCCTCTGGTCACAGTCTTGCCAGCTCTATACGCTCTTGATGCAAACTTCCAAAACTCTGAGATGAGACTTCTATCACACTGATGAGGGAACAACACCATAGCTCAGTATTTCTGGGAAATCCTAGGCACTACTGATGGTGAAAGTTGTTTAATGCATTTGATTAAACTAGGGAGGATGCAGTCAGGACAAGTCTGCACTTTGTAGTTAAATCCAGAGTGATTCTAATGGTGCACAGTACTTTTCAGTTTGAGGGATTCTGTAGCCAATAGTATCTTTGATGTCTTTTAATGGTTAACATACATGGAGAATCATTTATAAAGGTTAAAATGAGCTGCCATGTGAGCATTGCAAGGAAGCCTTATTCCCAACAAAATGTAAGTGGAATTTCCAGACAAGGAACCGGTGATGTATATTCCTTTGCTGTTAGTTGTTGTAAGGATAAATCTCCCTTTCAGTTCTTACAAAGCCGGATAAGAGTGGAAGGAGTGAGCAAATTTTTTTCTACCCATTTTTGCCTACAAAGAAATTTCCGAGAGCGACATCTGTTAGGCCCTCCTCCTCTCTTTCTCCTCTTCTCCTTCATCTTCATTTTTAATCAAAGACAGGATCACTGAACTAACAAAGCAGAAAGCTGATGTGGTACTATGATGGTACATAAGTTATGTAATCCATTGGGTAAGTTCATTGGGGGTTTACAAAATATCTTGGTTTCACCAAAATAGTCCCCAAGGACGAGGATTTAGGTAGGAAATGAGTTTCTAGTAATAACATCCCTCAAATAATTTCTTGGAGCCCTGCCTTTTCATTGAATTTTTATTTGGAAAAGAATACATTATTTCCCAATATTATTCTTAATAAATAATAATTAGTAAGACAATAAAAATATACTAAATTTACCTGGATTCAGATAGTTATGGGCACAAAAAAAGCAACAACAACAAAACTAATTAAGAACCTGTAAAAGAAAATCGGTCTCTGGTCTCACTCTTTCCAAAGCACATTCAATGCCATGAATTTTGACCTAGGATAAATAGCTATTTATATAAGAAAACTTCTCCAGATATATTGAAACACATAAGAAGTCAGAGAATGTAATTCCTGGAAAAATACTTGCAATACAACTCAACCAACTAATATATGGAATGGAGAGGCTACGAAAGAGACTCAGTAGTTGAAGGACTTTCCTCAATACTTGCATCAGGGTTTGACGCATGGTAGTTTTTATTAAATGGCTGAACAACGGAAGAAACCAAAAAAGCTAAGGCGTACTAAGCAACCTCACCTTCTTGGCTATACATAAAGTGCGTAATCCGCGTCTGGCATAGTCATCCAAGTGTTTCTGGGTTTCCTCCCTTATTTTCATCTGCTGTTTTTCCACATTTGCCCCATCTGAAATAACGAGCAAAACACTACTGTTCCTACCAGCCTGCTTGATTACAGTCAGATTTTTTAAAAACAGTGACAGTTTAATACATAATAAATAAAAGCCATTCTAGTTTTGAATCCCAAATAAATTTCTCCTTTAATTCTTTCTCCTGGGATGAAGTACCAAGCATGTGACACAATCACTGTTCCCATGCCATCAATTTAGCAGTAACAGTGACAGTGATGCCATCTTCCACCAAGCCCTTTCCATTTGTTAGACACATGACAGAAGGCAACTAACAAATGCTAAGTGCATACAATGTGTCACCAGCCTCTCAGTAAAAGGAGGATGTAGCACCCATTTGACTGAAGACTCAGGAGCAAGTAGATAGGGAACTGTCAAGACACAGCTAATGATGGAGTCCAGGTCTGAACCCAGTTGGTGAACGTCCCAGAATTACTTACGTTCCCAGCAAATCCTAGGCATTTTTTTCTGTGCTTTATGAAGTATAAATAACTTCCATACACCTGCTCTTTTGTTTTTATACAACCATGGGGAGTGGCCTTTCAGTTTCGTTTTTTTTTTTTTTTTTTTTTCTTTTTTCCAGTACCAGGGATCGAACTCAGACCGCGTGCTTGCAAGGCAGGTGCTTATGCCGCTGAGCTAAATTCCCAGCCCTTTTTTTTTTTTTTTGGCCTTTCAATTTCTGGGCCCTTTAGATCACTGCCATCTCAGGCCAGTTTGAACCCACCTGGGGGAGCCACTGAGAGCAACTCCATGATTGCAGAATCAGCTCCCTTTGTGTACACCACAACCTCATTGGAAAGGGGGTGCCGGACAACAACAGACATTCTTTTTCTTACTGAGTCGAAGGGCAGGATGTGTAAGAGTTGAAATGTTAATGGTCCCAAGGCAGCAAAGTCCACCATGACCTGCTCTGGCGTCCGTGACTGTAAAGTGCATTGATAAGCCCTGGCCGCATACACCAAGGCTGCTTCATCTGGGCTCTCGGCCTCATAACACAGGTTGGAGGCCAAGGACCGTCCAGGGAGGGATTCCACCTTGCCATCTGTGAGGCCTCCACTGCAGTTTGGTTTTTCAATTTCCGTACAGCAAGCTGGGTCACTATTGCCCTGCGGGTTCTCATTCATGGGCGAGACCTCTTCCTCCATGGGTGATGTCAGCTTGGTCCGGTTAAAGAGAGAGAGTCTGCTCACGAAGGTGCTGGGGACCCCGGAGGGCAGTTCTTTCCCGCTGACAAGACAGGGTGAACTTGATCTTCGGGCAGACAATCTTTGGAAGAGGTTTTTAATCTCCTCCAAGGATTTCATGGGTGTTCCACTCAGGGAAGAGAGCCTGATCTAGAAAGGATAATTTAGAAGAGACTCAATAATAAAGTTCAAGCCATCATATAACACCTGTGAAGTCCAACTGGAAAAAAAGACATCACCACTCCCTTAAATGGTTAGCAGCCTACTCGTTTCTTATAACTGCCACAGGAAACATGAATAAAAGTAAAAGCCTACAGGAGAGGATCTGCTGAAAGTGACAATATTACAAATTCCTGCAGTCATTTGGGAAGGACTTTGAAAACTGATAGCAAAAACTATAAAACGCTAACATGAGAATATTCATAACAGTTGTTCCTATAGAAATAATTCAGGAAAAAAACCAGTCTTTATTGTGTGCATTCTAGCAATAATAATTTAAAAATCATAAGCAAATTAAATGTTCAACAATAACAAAATAGAAAGATGCTAAAATATACAATATTCAAGTTTGTAAAGACTGGGGAGTAATACCAGGAAAGCTTTGTAAACAGTACAAAAAAATACACGATCATAATAAAAACAATGGAAGAAAAAAAAATCAAAAGCTTAACAAAATAGTTTTTCTTCTACTTTCCAGATTCTACAAAAGATATTTTTACTTATAAAAAAAAAAAAAGGCCAGTAGGTAAAGTAGCTTAAAGGAAGAATAGCTATCCATGTCATCAGTATCATAATATGATTTAGACTTTCTATTTTTATAGACCTTTTTCTCATTTATACCCCTTTGTAGGAGTGTGTGTTTTGGTGATGACCTGGGGATTGAAACCACAGCCTTTGTACTGAGATACCACCCGGGTCCCATGCCCTTTTCTTTTTAAAGACAAGATCTTACTAAATCCAAAACCAGGCAGGGCTCTCATTATAATCCCCTTGCCAAAAGCCTCCCAAAGTGTTAGGATTATAGCTGTGTGTCCTCCTGTCTTGCTTAGATCTATTTTATCAGTGATTAAACATAGAATTTAATGCTAACCATGGACAATTAATTATTTGGAACATAAACTTTTCTGTCAGAAATGCCTGGGGAATTAAAAAGTTTTTTCTTAAAAATTACTAACTTTATGAGAGTTTGAGGGTCTCATACGGGTCAATTTTTGAAGTTATTGGCCTCTCAGAATAAAAAGAATAAAATCTAATCACAGATGAAATTTTTGGATTGCACATGAATTCTGATTAGTCCCTATAAACCGCCTTTCTACCATTATACCATGAAGCTTTCGTTCCTATAGAGGTTTTCTTTCTAACAGTGGGAAATTATACTATTCGGGAACGAGGGAAACTATTTCTTTAACAGATGCTAACTTAGAAACAGATATATGACAGAAAAAATTGTTATGGGGAACAAAAAATATCCAGTGATTTTCCTCTAACTACATAATCATTTTTCAAAGAGCAACTTTCAAGGCAAAACCTCATAAAAATAGTTTCAGATCAAATGCATCTTAATTGGAAAGAAAATACTGTTATGTTGAAGTTGACCACCTCTGAAGTTGCCAAAGGAACATGATCTGATGGACAATTAAAATTTAATTGAGTTATCAGGCAAACTGAATTTTAAGTCGATAAGTGGGAAAAGATACAGTCATAAGCCTGAAAGCTAGAACAGCCAAGTGGTGAATCACCAGCCTATGCACTGTTATTTTCTTAATGGGAAATGAATTCTCCATGAATTCTAAAACACAAACAGAGTTTCAAAATTTAGGTTTTATATATCTGAAGAATTTTCATATATTATGGTGAATTTCAGATTGATTGAATCAAAACTAACCCAACTAGCACAAGAAAAAGGTATTTTATCATCAAGCATGAAAATGAATTCAATGTACTTTATATTTTATTTGAGGTGCATATAATGCTACAGTATCAGAAACTTCAATCTGGTGAGAAGTTAAAAGCAAAATGAATGTTCTCACTGGCAAATCATGTCGTAACACTGAGCCACGCTTCCTAGGTTTGAATCTCACCTTCTCTAAAAGCTAATATTGTTACGCTAAACAAATTAAAATTATCTGTAACATGGGGAATAGTAAAGTGAGAGTACATACCTCTCAGAGTCACTCAGACAATTAAACAAATTAATACCAGTAAATCATTTAGAACATGTTAAATGCAGGAAAAATAAATTCTGATACATGTTAAACACCTGCTATTGTTAGCTGCCACTGTTATTTTTTACTGTAACATAACAAGACCAGTTTAGACACATGGTAAGCCAACATTCTGCCCACCCATTTTTGCATTAGGGACTTTACCTTTTGTCTTGGTTGATTAGGAGCCGAAACTACTACTGTGTTGCAAATCGCCAGAGCAATGAAGAAGTCCATGATGTACAAAGTCTCCAGTGGTGGTCTTTGGAAGGTCCCATCTATCGAGGTAAAGAGATGAGGTGTAATCTGCCTAAATTTGTTCAAAAGCCTGGTGTCTGGTACCACATCTGTTTCCTGAAGATTCAGTGAGACAAAGTATTGTTATCATCATGAAAAGTAATTTTTATAACCCAAAATCTGAAGCAACTAAAATAACCTTACTGCATCTAGTAGAACAGGAAGGGACAACAGAAAAATACAAGACATAAAAATAAATAGAAAATCCACACTACACATTATAAATGGAGGTTCCCTCAAACTAACCAGGAGATAACTTACAAGAAAATCTAGTTGAATGAGTATTTCTCATTTAAAAATATACAATGCCAGACATATATTTTATTATGTTTAGAATTCCACCTTGGTTATGGATTCATTCAGTAATAACAGGTACAAACCAATTCTTTTTAAGTGAGGTTTTTACTTGTATCATTATTACTTCTGAATATACCACCATAATAAAAAAAAAAAAACAACTTGTTAAAATAGAAATAATTGCAAGTAGGCTAGTATATTTAAACTGCATTTCCCAGTAATACCTCATAAGACATTAACAAAGTTTTAATTAAGTTTCTTGGTACAATTTAGGTATACATAATGATCACACACATGATAGGGATTAACTAAGTTTTCTGATCACAACTATGCCTCACTCTTAAAGATTCTTAATAACTATTTGCTTTAAGAAGTTTTCTTATTATGAAAAAGAAGTATCCCCTTCTGTTTAATGTAGTACTTCTTACACTTATTCTGGAGTGTTAGTTTTAACAAATGAATGTCTTAGACGAAATCTGATTAGAATCCTGTTCATACAATCTGTGGCTTTACAAATGTTTAAGCTGAGTCAAAAACCTGGAGTATTTCTCATACTCCAGGTTTTACAAAAGCATCGATCTACTTTAGAAGATTTGGAATGCTGAATAATAAATCAGACTGACTATAGGAAACCAAGAGAATTGATTTAGAGAAAAAGAGCAACACACAGAGAGATGTGTGACCTTAAACTCAGAAGCCCATGGCTCATGTTTATGCTTGGAATTCAATGGCAGTTGAGGTGCGATAAAGAATGTGTACTAGTATTCACGTGGGCTTGGGTTCAAGTCTCAGCTCCTTAGTTCAGGGCTTATATCCTAACTGGTACCATCAAGCAGCTTACTTAACCTTTTGAGCATCATTTCCCTTTTCTATATAATGATAAAAATAACCTCCCAGGGTGGTTGTCCGAGATAAATGACATAATAACTGAGATGATATCAGTGCAGCACAATCCAAGTAATCTAATCTTCCTTTTCCTTCTTCCCTTCTTAAAGGATGTGTACTCAGTTTACACAGGTTATCAGCTCGCATGGACTTTTAAGGTCCATATCACCAGCTGTCACAAAGCACTCTTAAACTTTTTCCTAACTACCTCAAGCAGATGACTGTATAAACTGAAAATCTATTCCCATAATCATGAAAACAACGAGAATAAAAACAGCACTAAAGCTGGCCAAGCTAAAGTGAGAAAAAGCTAGAAGCTCAGGATCATGGAAACTCAGGACCCGAAAACAACATAAAATCATATAAGTAAAAGAACCCAGAAAAAGACTGGAACAATTGGTATCAAAATGAAGATACAGTTAAAGAACATTCTTCTACTTCTGTTAGTTTTTACAGTAATCTCTTGTGACTAAGATAGTGGCTGAACTGAGTTAATTGAGTCATCACATACAATTTTTTATCAATATGATTATCTTCATTCTTTTCTGATCCAAAATCTGACTGTAGAATAAAGTTAACAGCTGACAGCCAAGCATAGTGGTGCGTGCCTGTAGTCCCAGCACTCAGGAGGCCTAGACAGGAGGGCTGCTCTAGACCAGGTTGGGCTACAAAGTGAGTTTAAGGCCAGTTTGAAATGCATAGTGAGACTCGGCTTCCAAACAAAAGACAATAAAATAAACAGTTGTTTTTTCTGTGATGCAGTTTCTGCCATCAATGGAAGGTACATTAAGTTGAGAACCAGGCCTACACTATCTTTCTCTAAATAACTATACACCTATCTATCTCTTACCCCAGAAAGCTTAGAAGTTCCTCCAAAGTGAGAAATGTATCTTACTGATCTTTGGATCCCTAACTCAGAACCTGGCATAAACAGTTGAAGGTTATTGTTATCAATTGAAGGTTATTGTTATACATACTTGTTGGTCTCATATTCGACAAGGAAAGGGACAGAGAAACAGACTAAAAGGGTGTATTCTATAGAAGGCTTAAAATAGGCATCTTATTAAAATTCTAAGAAAATGTGTACTCCCAAGTTAAGCACAGAACCATGAGTCCAATGTGGATAGTTTCTCAAAATGTAAACAAAGCCTTATTTGGGAGACATATATCTTTTAGCTAATCTATGATAACATCTTACCATTTCAAATGCTAGATTTACCCTCTTATTAAACTACCCTCCTGGGTTACAGATTTCATCTTCATTTTTCTTCCTTCTTTTTTCCCCTCTCCCCTATTGAAATCCAAATTAAAGAAGTAAAACTTCTTTAATTTGCCTTCTTACATTATTGGATGACTTTAAGATAATGTAAAAAAAATTTTTTAAACTGAAAGTGACACAAAGTCACTCTAATTGTTTATACAAATCTCAAAATATCTTTAGATTAACAATGGACAGACACTACAGAACGTAAATAAAGTTGATCAAGCAGTTCTAAAACTGTCTTCTACTTCTCCTACATTTTACTTTTGAGTATCTCAGTTTGCCTTCTGATCTCAAACAGGTGCCCTTACCTGGGCTTCATGGATGGGCTTTTAAAATCATACGCACAATTTCTACAGTTGTTCACATTTTAGGTCAAAGATTATTATCTCAACCTTTAGTTTCCAAAAAGGATCAACTTGCCAAGACTAAGAATGACAGATGAGCTTATGTTTTGAGAAAGACTGTGACCTCTTCATCCTACATATAGGAATCTCATTTTGCAAAATATGAAACAAAACTAAAACAATGACCCCAAGACAGTGATATAATCAGAATGACGCACACAGCTTTGGAATATAGGGGAAATAAAAACAAAGAGGACACAATGGAAAGGCTGAGCCTGTTAAGCAGTTCCATTTGACAACCTTCAAAAGTGCTTTGAGAACGTGCCAGACACTGTGCTGAAATGTTAGGCCTTCAAGATCACTGTGTCCTTGTTCTTACTGAGCTAGCAGCCAGGTCAGGTGCAGAAATGAGACCATCATAGTACAGACCAAGGGACAGAGGGGATGAGCCAGCAGAGTTTGGAAGCTGAGGAATGAGAATCTGTAAATACTTCAGAGAAGTTGATACTAAAAGCAGTTCTTAAAGAAATAAATATTTCCTTAGTTTTGTGCAACGTAGTAGGATACAGAGAATACGGTTTGTACAAAGAAAGTGGGATAAACAAAAGTGCTTTAAAAAGTACTTGTTGGTTCCAGTAACAGAACTGCTAAGGAGCGCGTAGCACAGAGGGTATTATTTCCCACTCAACAGGACTCAGTGGGCTTGTTTTCAGGTGGGTGAATAGATAAAAAAGTTCACTAGAAAGATGCATAAAAAAATAGAAGAAATACATACCTATACATAGCATATTTCTAATGTAACTTTAAAGGTACAGAAGAGCTGTGCATTCCTTATTTCTTCTCAAAAGTTGGAGAAAAATTGGGGGCTGGGGATTTAGCCCAGCGGCATAAGCACCTGCCTTGCAAGCAGGCAGTCGTGAGTTCGATCCCTAGTACCGATAAAAAGTTTAAAAAAAAAAAAAAAGAGCAAAAGTTGGAGAAAAATGAAGTCTATATGTCTGAGGCAGCTTGTCACATGGTACAGACACAATGTAATGGGCATTATACCCTCGTGCAGTGATGGCAAACCTTTTAGAGCTTTCAATGCTATGAAGAACCCACTGCCAACACATGCCATTGGCTTGCCATCATGCTTTTGTGGCACACAACTGAGCTGAACTGAGGCAATCACTCCATTGCTGTGACACATTCTTTTGGCAAGTTTGTAAAGAGCTGGTAAATTGGCCTCCAGCTGTCTCAGGTTGTGGAGATCCCCGGGGTGCACTCACATTAGGTATCTGCACAAACCACACAACATCTTGGATAGGACAACGTAAGTGTTCCCCAAAGCTTGCTATGTCACATACTGTGGAACTGTTGATCGTGTCATAGCTAGAGCCATCTTAGTAAAAATACAATCATGAGTCTAACAAGAAAGGCAGAGAGTGAGGTGGAAATTTCACAGAATTTTAAGTACTGCAAAAGTTTTGATTTCCAATTCTTTTACATGGACATCTTTCCTCTGTTTCTCATGTTTTAGACTCTATCTTTTTATGCAGTAGTAGAGTTTGTTAATGTGCAACACTCCCATTGGGACTCAAAACTACATCCTGTCACACTCCGAAATGAAAAATTTAGAAAGTGCCCTTTGGGAAGTAGGACTGGGGAAGAGGTCATAGGTTTGCTAGCATATGACAGACAATTACAGAGCAATGAAGAGACCTTTGAAAGGCCTGTGAGTTTACCTATCAATTACACACACTTACCTGGCTACGAGGTAAATCGGGTAAGCTTTGTTGGTTCTGACAGGAAGCTCTGACCACTAAACCAGAATAGCCTTTTTAGGCTCAGACATGATTAGCCCTGACCAGAAATAAGATGTTCAAAAATGTTATGTGACAGTACAACATAGAATTATTTCAAAAACTAGAGAGTTGTGATATTGTTGTTCACATGTATTACGTATCACTATCATGCATCGCATCTCGTTATGTGTCACAGTCTCTGGCTCCATCAGAGGCTGTACTGCCCTCATCCTTGTGGACCTGGGAGGACCCAGCCATGCGGACACTTACAATGGGGCTACTGAAAGCAGCCTGTCTGGAATGAAGCCCTTCAGCAGCTCCATCTCCATTGCCTACTGCAGACACGCTCCCAGAGAGATGTTTTGAGAGCCTCCTCCCCAGAGGCCGGTTAATGACTGTCCTGCAGCCAGGGGCTCCTGGTTTGGCCACGTTGCTGGGGGAGCCACTGACGGTGTCTGTGCAATCTTCATCTTCAGAGACAGCTTCTTGATATGACTCCAGTCTCTTGGCTGTGGGATAAAAACCACACTGGGTCACATCTGAGAAGATCTTACAAGATCACGTGTCGGGTGGTTACTTCTACAGCCATGGTACATCCTCCTTCCAAAATTTCCCACACCCTCCTCCAAACCTGGCCTTCAAATCCTCCACCTACATCCTTAGTTAGTAAACTTAGCTCCTGCTTTAAGTGGAAACAATCAAATGAGAACTGTCTTCCTGAGAAAGAGATTTCATCAAGTCTAACACCTTCTCTGCCTCTGTATTCTCACTCTGTCTTTTCTCCTGCTACTATGGAGTCAAGCTCTCTCCTTGTCTCAAACGCCAAACCTTCCACTTGTGATCTGAATCCCAGTCTCTGGATTCCTCAGGACCACAACTTTCCAACTCTTCCCCTGATAACTCATACAAGTCCTTCCTCAACCAGTTTCAGGACTTTTTGTCCCCATCTCTCCACTGACAATTCTCTTGAATAGTCACATGTAAGTTCCATACTGTCAAATCCAGTGAACATACAGACCTATTTTTATTTCATTTGAGCCCTTAATATTATCTGATGGAATGGGAGGGATTCAGTCCTAGGAGGCCTGATTCTAAAAATCCTTGTTCTTGTAACGTACAATAGATTCGCATTTATAATAGATTCACAGATTACATACCATAAAGGCACTCTTCAGAAAGCCAAAGTGGAGGACATTACAGAACCTCACAATAGGGCTCCTTAAAACTGGTTAAGTTCATCCAAAAGAAAAAAGTCTAAGAAACTAATCAAGTTCAGAGGAGGCTAAATAATAACTGCTAGATAGCACAGTGGGAGACAAAAGGGCCCTTAGGTAAGAACTAAGGAAACACTAATAAAGCATGAATTTTTCCAACTAAAAATGATGTATCAATATATACTTACTACTTATGATAAATGTATCACATGGTTAGTTTTAACAACAGGGGAAACAGTATGGGGTGTACTAGATCTCTATATTTCTCTGTAACTTTTCTGTAAATCTACCACTATCTTAGAATGAAAGGTTTATTTTTTAAGTAGCATTCTCTTTCAGCAATCTTTTAAAGAATGTTTTAATTCTTTCCCTTCTCTTTTTCCCAATTACATTCACGAAGATATGTTTAGACACTGAATCTGTTTAGACGTTGAATAATTTTGTTAAAGGCACAGTTAATCATACTGGTTGTACTTTGAAGACAGACTTTTAAAAACAAACAGAATTTAAAGGAAAAAATTAATATGTAAATTAATCACCTGGGGTATTGTTAAAATGCAGATGTTAACAGAAGAGGGCCTGAATTACTGTAGTAATACACTCACAGGCGTTGCTGATGCTGTTAGCACATGGACCATACACTTGTAAGTTGCTGAAATATTCAATTGTGTTATCATATGTGTTTATTTCAGCTTCATGTATATAAAGGGTATTTCCAAGAGGCAGTAATCTTTATAGAATAAAAACAATACCCTTTGCTAGAAAATCTTGAGGCAATGGTTAACAAAACACACATACATTGCTATACAGTTTTCATTTCAATGAAAATAACATATCTCAGAATTACATTCTGAAGTGAACTGAGTCTTAACATTACTCTGATTTACATTTACTATGCATGGGTATGTATGTGCTTATTTTAAAACTACTGCATAAAAGAGACTAGAAGTTCTGGATGGGTCAATGGTACAGAAGTATTACAGGCAAAATTAGGACTTTCTAAAGCATTGCAAGCCTCTGCAGTTCCCAAATGGGTATCTTATCAGTTACAGTTCATTCAGGAGTAGTATTTAATTCTAGTCACTTGGCTTTGTTCCTGTAATGAAGGGACATAGAAGAGAAATATTCACTTGGGCAAGACGTGCATATGTCTTAGTTATTTTATTTGTTACTAAGACATTCTATTTGATGACTAAAGTCAGGACAGAAAAGGTTTATTCTTTATAGTTTTTGGAGTTTTTAGTCTATATTTAGTTGGCTCCAAGGCAGGGTGGCATGGCTGGGCCGCAGTTTATGGCAGCTGCAAACAGCAAGGCAGAAACTGGCTAAAGAGAGAGCGAGACACACCTTCTTCCTGCCATTACATTACATGCTGGCTCCACCCCTAGGTGGGTGTAGCACTGACACTATCAATTTAAGCTCTAGACAATGAATCAATCACAAATGCATAATGCAAATGCATGAGGCCTGGGAGCCACCGACATAAACCATGACATTCTACCCCTGGCCCCCAGGACTCATGCACATCTTTTATATAAAGGACATTTAGTCCACCTCTAAGAGTTGTCAAAGTCCTAACAGTTTCAGCACTGCTGAAAAGTCTGTCTTAAGTCTCTTCTAGGATCTATGGCAAACTCTTAATTGTAACCCCTGTACAAATGAAACAAGGTTAGACATTTTTGAAATACAAAGACACAAGATAAACATTACCATTCTAAAAGTTACAAACAGGGGAATATAAAGCACGGGAAACCAAGCAAGTCTAACATCCAGCAGGATGAACGTTAAGTCTTAGAGTTTTATGCTCAGCATCTGAAGCAGTCTGGTTGCAAGCTCCAAAAGGCTTGGGTGATTTCACCCCCACGGCACTTTTAGGGATTTCAGCTCTCTCAGCATTTCTCTTAAACCCTCTCTGCTCACTTTGTGCAGCTCTTTTTAGACGATCCCTGTTTCTAGCTTTTTCAAACTTTTGGGGTTTCTATTGCATCTTTGGCTTTACCCTTACATCTTTACAAATTGCCCTCTCAGGGGCACACTGCTTGGCCTCCCAGACCCTTTGTAATCGAGGTGGAAGCCATCTTACCCTCAGAATTTGTGCATTTTCCTTGCACCTAAAATAAAAACTATGTGGATGCCACCAAGGTTTATTGCCATCTGAAGCAGTAGCCAGGTTTTTTTTTTTTTTTCTCTTGGCTGTTAGGGATCCATTGTCTAGATCCCTGAGCTCTATGAACCTGATTGTGAAGGAAAGCTTTTCTATGTTGCCAACCTTTTGGAACCTCATGTGGCCTCCATCAACATTCTGGAGCATGGTGCTCTGCAGCTTTTTCCTTCAAGCAAATTCTTTCACTTTTGCAGTTTTGAAGCTGCAAAGGGTGGAGACCCATTGCTTTCTGGGATGCCCCAGGGCCATCTTTTTTAATTCTCTGTTTCTCCTCAGCAATCAAAGCCTTAACTCTGTCTTTATAATCCACAGCTTTCCTGGAATTTTCCTTTTGGCCAAACTCACAGTATTGTATATTACCCTGTTGGGCTCTTTGCTCTTGATTTGCAACATAAAGCTGGCTAAAAGCCCCCAACAATGGCCACGCCACAGCCTCAACATTTGACCGCTTTGAAATTTCCTTTTTCAGATTAATCAGTCTATTGCTTTTAGTTTCAATCTCAGGCAAGGTCTCTGGGCATGAGCAAAATGCAGACAAACTTTCTGCCAAGCCATAACACACATCATGGGGAATCCAACAACCAATGCAGTCCTTCTTTCCAGCAGAAATCTCCCAAGCCTGGTCTTTACCATAAGGCTTTCTATCTGCCTTTTGGTCTCCTGAGGTCTGACCAGAATCTCCTTTACAGAACAGACTAAGCTGCTCCAGCTCTATGCAACCAAATGACATGTCCAAACCTTTCCAAACTCTGCCCACAAGCTGTTTCCAAAGCCTCTCAAAAAACTGGTCAGGTATAGTTGCAGCAAACGACCCCACTCCTGATACCAAATTCTGTCTCAGTGACTTTTTCCTTGTCACTGAGACAAATACCTGATGACCAAAGTTGGGAAAGGAAAGGCTTATTTATTACAGTTTTTGGAGTTTTTAGTCCATACTCAGTTGGCTCCAAGGCAGGGTGGCATGGCTGAGCACAATTTATGGTGGCTGCAAACAGCAAGGCAGAAACTGGCTAAAGAGAGAGCGAGACACATCTTCTTCCCGCCATTACATTACATGCTGGCTCCACCCCTATGTGGGTATAGCACTGACACTATCAATCTAAGCTCTAGACAGTGAACCAATCACAAATGCATAATGCAAATACATGAGGCTTGGGGACCACCAACATAAACCATGACAGCATATTCATGGACTAAGGTAGGAGAAAGCTAGCTAATGGTGGCCCTTTTAATTGTATGTTTTTTTATGAAGCATTATTGTTGCAAGATGCAAGACACTGCCTGAACAGAAAAATTTATGGTGAATTAATTCTGGGAAACAGTAACCTTGCAAATGCATAGCAGATATTTAGCTATAGGATTGTGTATCACAAAACATGACTACTAACCACATTAACTAATAGTAGTTATATAAATTATGGAAATTTCTATATACAATAAAATATAACCATTAGAAGAATAAGGAGAGAATGATAGGTGGTCATAATGAAAACTGGTTATAAAACTAAAAGCATATTGTTATGTCACTCTTATTAGAAACCTATCCCCCCATGCACACACACACACACACACACACACACACACACACACTGCCACAAAAATATATGCACACACATAAAAGATTAAAAAATACAATAAAATGCCTAACAATGGTCTACTTTGGGGGACATTGATGCTTTTAAAATATGCATATTTTGGCTTATCTGAAATTTCTGTAATACTGATTTGTAATTAAATGCTACTAATAAAGAGTCATAATGAAATACATTAGATTCAATATAACTCACTAATTTTTGGTTCTCTGATAAATATTCAAATTTAATCCCTTACATTCATAGGCAACAAAAGTTTGCTTAAAAATCTGTGAACCTAAGAAAAAATATGGCAAATTTATTTTACCAAATTTTTGGCAGATGTTCAATATTACTGGCAGAAATTATATAATAATATTCCCATTTTTAATATCTATAACAATATATCTACAAGAATCAACACATTTTCTTTAATAAAAATACAAAACTTTTGATAAGAGCACCCTACACAAAATTAAAAGATGAGAGGCACAGCCTCAGAACAGTGCCTTAAAATTCTCAGATGGTTCCAAGATTCCTGTCCCCATGGTATGCCTAACTTGCAAGTTTGATTTAGAATATCCTCAAAGAAAGATCCACAGTGAGAAATCATACTGAAGACCACAAGGAAGCAAACTGCTATGCTATGGAAAGGCTGTATGACAGAAAATCTCTAAGACTTGCCAGTGGTCCCTAGATATCAGCCAGGAGAAAATGGGAACCTTGGTCCTACAACCTCAAAACACCAAATTCTGCCAAATACCAGTGATCTAAAAGAAGTAAGACCAGATGATATAAGATGATATAAGTCCCAGCTCACCTGTGGACTTCAGCCTGGTGCGAGACTGAGTAGAAGATGGACCTTTCCTGACCTGCCCAAACCATAAGACAGCATACTGGATTTATATTCTTCTACACTGCTAACTGTTAACGATGTGAGAGAAAACTAATACAATGAGAAATGATGAACCAGGTAAATAACTGCCCATGTATGGAAGAAATGGCTAATATACCATCATAGCTTTTGTTCAAATTACTTAACAACTGGTTCAAAAGTGTGCAAATAAACTTGAGTGCCAGTCACAAACAGCATAGACCAGGATATAAATGAACATCAATAGATAAAACTTCCCTATGAGTTACTAACAACAAAGAAAGCTCATTTAAAAATAGGAAAATAGCATGATCAATTTCCTAAGGAATTTCAGTGGCTAGCTAACATATAAAAAGTTAACCATTTCCTTACTAATCAGAGAAAAATTAAGACAGAAAAGTTAACTATGTCTATAAAACTCACGCAAACTAAAAATCATAGTTTTACCCTGCTATGGTTAGGCATAAAAATGTATTATTTTTCTAGGTTGTAGAAATGTAAATTATCATATTTTAGAGAAATATAGTATAAAATAATCCCATAAATATTTATAATAATGTATACCACATGCCAAATTTTCTTTTATTTGTGATAATTCTAAATCCTATTTATCTATTTCCTTGCCCTTAATTCTAAGCTACATGAAATCAGGGGCTTCTGCTCCATATTCAGAACTCACAAAATACTGTTGAAAGAATAAGTGATGCTAACTGTATGTGCTTTTATTGAAATCCCTAAGCTTAAAAGTCAAAACATGAGAAACTCCAAAATATAAAACTTTGAGCATGATCATGACATGACAAGTGGAAAATTCCATGCTATGAAACTCCATGTCATAAATGAAATTATTAAATAAATTGTACAAACATACTTTCAAGTTAGGTGTGTAAGGTGCTTGTGAGAGACAAGTGAATTTTGTGTTTAGACTTAGGTCTCATATCCAACATACCACATTTTTTACATGAAAGTATTCCAAACTGCACAAAAAAAATCCAAAATCCAGAACATCTCTGTTTCAAGCATTCCAGGTAAGAGATACTCTTGGTAACAGCAAATGAAGTAGTCACCTCTAAGAAGAGGAAACTATGCTCGACCAATTATAATGAGTGGAAGACCATGCTCTTCACATTGTTATGGATTGACTCAGAAAAATGCATGAGACATTGTTTAGTAAAAGAAACACTGAAAACCACTACTACAATATGCTAACTGATAACAGAGAAATATGTGAATCTACTATATGTTCACAAGATACAGAGAAATATGAATGAAGAAATGGTCAATTCTTAAAAAAAAAAAAAACTTGTAATTTGAAATTCACTTCCTTAAACTCAGAAGTTCAGTTCTTAACCAAGCATCAGTGATTATGTGAGGGCCAAATGATGGGGCTAAAAGGAACTTGGACTTCCCTCAGAATGATTTTCAAAATATTTTTCAGAGAGAAAGTGCATAGTGTCATTAGACCTTCAGAAGTATCTATAGTGCAGTATTGTTTTCGCCATACCAATCCAAACCTTCTCCCTGTGTTGGTAATTTACTCTTCTGTTTTTATTACTTTATGAAAGCATAAAATATATACTCATAACCAAATAGTAAGAGAGTAACGATAGTTATTACACTGTTATTATCTTTAAAACAGTTATTAAGTACAAAACATAAAACAAAAAGTTCTTACAAAAAAGAAAATAGTAGGTAACATAAACTTTCAATAAACAAAGATAAACTTTTAGTACAAGTGAAACAAGTTAGCATTATATATTGAAATATTTGTAAATAATGGAATATATAATTTGGCAAAGAATTTAAACATTTCTCTATTTCATATTTATCTGTCTCCTATTTTGCTCTAAAGGACTCAAAAATGAAACCCACAAAATAAAAGACCCAATTAAAAAAATAAGCAATCAAGATGAATAGAAACGTTCTAGATGTACAAATGGTCAATAGACACATGAAAAAATGTTCCTTATCACAGGTCTTAGAAATACAGGTTAAAACCACTCTACTTTTAAAGAAATCATAGCAGTAGACTTTTACCTATGAACTTTTTTACACCATCAAACATATTTATTTAGCAGATTATATCAATGGTAATGCAAATACCAAGTGATACAATGGTACAAATACTAAATGATACAATATGAAATGCTACAATTACTGCAAATTTGCAAAGATATATAAAATTTAAATTTAATATGAGAGAAATAATGATAGCAAGTGATACAAATACTAAGTGATAATCAAATAGTTGAATATTTCATTATATCACTTAGTATTTACTTATCATTTACTGTTTAATTGTATCATTTAGTAGTACATCACAGTATGGACTAACTTTTAAAGGAACAAGAATATAATAGAAAGCCCTTTTGGATAGATTAAATAGTCAAAGTTTAAATATAGCACTTCAGTGCTAAAATTATCAGGCAACTAAGCAGCTAACAAAAAGGTCAAATGTTAGGGATTTCTGTACAAACTCAGCACTCACCATTTTCTTCATGGCAATAATCAAATCCTGCCACACTGCACCTTCGAAAAACCATCTTGTTCTCAGTGAGTGTTCCTGTCTTATCAGAAAAGAGGTACTGAATCTGTCCAAGATCCTCAGCGATGTTCAGGGCTCGGCATTGTACAGTAGAATCCATTTTCTCACTATAGAAATCCACATCACTTTGAATGAAATATATCTGTCCAAGCTTCACAATTTCAATGGAAACATACAGAGAAATGGGAATCAAGACCTGAGGAGCCAAACAATTTTTAAAATATTAACACAGGCTAAAGAATGTGAATATGGCTGGATAATGTACAAGATCTTAAAATTCTATAAGCTGGAAGGAAATTACCTGTAACAAAATGATCATGGTCCAAAACATATAGAATCCTGCCAATGCCGGGGACATCATATGTCCATCAGGATCAGGGATATTAAAGAAGGGCACATTTTCGTATCTGCACAACCAGATTCCATGACCTTTCAAAAAAATATACAGATGAAAAAGAATGTTTATATATACATATATTATGTAAATATAAAAAGTTTATTCCTCAAATAGGAGTGATGACAGTATCCAGTTTGGTTGAATACCAATTGCTTTTGGAAACACATTCAACTTCAAAATACTACAGTCTCTTGTGCCTTTCTCTCTCTAAATCTTATCCTAAGTCCTTTAGTACTATGGCACAGTATAAATGGATATAGTCTACATTAATAGTTTTCAGGCCTAAGTATGATAAATAAAGACACGAGAAAAAAAAAAAAGTATTGGAATATCCCTTTCTAGAACCCAAACATTCTTAAATATCGCTTTGAAAAAGAAACTAAAATTTTACTGCTAAGATGTTAGCAAATAATCAAATTTACCTACCCAATGCACCAGTTAAACACATTATAAGCAGAAGCAGGACACACCAGAGGACATCTGTATTTGCTCTTCTTTCTAATTTACTACGTTTATATCGTGGCCCAGGATTGTTTAGCATTGCTTTGGTTTCATGACCTACACAGAAAACAGAGTGCATCAGAAAAAATACCCATTAGGTAGAAACTAAAGTAAAGATCATATTTAAAAATGACTCTGGCAGACATATTTAAAAATGACTCTGGATCAATACTGTAGTTTGTTTTTGTGATCTGTTAAAGTCTATCAAGACAAAATTTACTTTCTGCTTCCATAGAATATTTTGAATAAATAAAATAATTGTACCTTGCAGAAAAGCACAGAGGAGACAGTGATGAAAATTATAATAGCCAACCTGCATAAACCACAATGCCCACAACAGCCTCTGTATTTCTAATGGTGCATCCTCTGAGCAGTAAATTTTCTTTGCTGAGACCCACACGTTGTTTGTTGGAATGTTCTCTGTAAGAAAGACAGCATGGAAATTTATTTTAAAATGGAAAAGTAGGGGTATGAGTGTTTCTGACTCAAGGGAACGAATTAGGCCGTTCACAGGAAAGGTTTCAAAAGCTGGTTCACTTGCTTTGGTTAGGAGAAGGCTATCAGCAGCTCTGACTCTTACTGCTTTCTGTAACTCATTATTTGTCAATTTCTCTTACTATAAAAACTCAGAAATATTCCAAATAAGAATCTGATTTTCTAGCATACACTGAATTCCATTAGAAATATCTCTTCAGTTAATAGTTGATGAGAGAAAAATTATTAACACAATTAGAAAATAATCACTGCCTATTTGGCTGAAATTTAGGCACTGAACATTGAGGTGAAAAGCTGGCAGGGAGCTGAAGGGGTAAAACTAACATCACCAGTCTGACAATGGGACAAGAGAATTTACACTACCTGATGTATGGGGAAAGGAAGCCGTGGCCCCACAAGCCTTTTACCGAGGTATTAGAGATGAAGCCTCTGACGTTATACACAATACTCCGAGTATGCACATATTAGTGCATTTATCTGTTTGTTATTTTCTAGCAAGAAAAGTCATTTCCGACATTGGCTTCTGAAAGCAACCCTTGACAACTGATAGAAGAACATAAGAGGTCAGAGAAACATCAGTGCAAGGATGCAGTCAAATCAAAAATATAGTCAATTCTGTGAGCAAAATAATCTGTTTTACTTAAGAAATGAATGGTATGGGGTGGAAAGGGGGGGGTCAACATAAGGCAGAGACAATCAGCTCAGTGTGGAAGATGGCAAGTTTTATAAACTAATGGGCCAATTTCTTGGGAGAGGAAATTTCAGAAGTTATCAGTCAAAATAATTTTTAGATTTTGTTTTTGATTTTGTTTGAATAGAACAGGTATTAAAAACATTTTTGAGACAATTTCAGAAACTTGAACAAAGTCCTGGTATGGGAGTAAGCAACGGTTTTATTTCCTTTGGGTATGATAATGGTGCTGTGCCTTTTGAAGTCTTTGTCCGCTGTAGGTAAACAATGAGGCATTTACAGTGCAGATGGGAAGGAAATGGGACAGTTAAAACCAAGCAAGGGAGACTGTTAAATAATTCAAGTGCACAGTAACTCCTTGGCATTCATTATATTTTTTCTTCCACTTTTGTATGTTTTGAAATATCTGTGATAAACAGTCGAAAAATGATCAAAGCAGTTGCTTGACTAGGTGACAAAAAGCCCTGAGCGAAATTATTGAAATACTCAAAAAACAAAGAGTACTATTTTTCACTTATGTTGAAATTGTGCTCATAACTTCAGCTTTAAAATTAGATTGTTTTCTAAGCTATATACTTCGATGTATAAGTTGTTGCTTCTGTCTTGAGTATCTAAACACTGTCAACGTATCTACTCTCCCTGCTCTCTGGAATTACAAAGAAAGGAAAAACTCCTTGGGAAGGCTTCACTCCCCTCCCCCCCATAAGAAAATATATTGTCATTTTACTCCCATAATTTGCAAATATTTTCTTACAACAGGTATCTGTTTCCATTCTTCCAGACACACAAGCTTATGCATGAGGAGGTGATTAACACTAGAAGTACCACCGAGTTTAACTCATCTCCCAGTTATATAGTTGAGGAAATCACATCCCAACACCCAGGTTTGCATTTAGCCTGTCCAGGCAAGCATCAGCTAATTCTCACTGATGTTGCATTCTTTTCTGTAGAGTCCTTATGGGAACTGATTTAACACATAAAACCAGCATTTCCAAAATTCCTTAGTATTAACTTTCCTATCCTAGAAGCCATATTTTCACCAGTATGTAACTTTAAAGGTGCCACCTTTAGATAAAGCCATCTTCTATTTTAGGGCACTTGCTATGAACTGCAAACATGCCCATTGGATGTACGCTATTTATTTGCACACTGCAAATGTAAAATAGTAACTGTCACATGCTCTCTTCATTCAAGAGGTCATGTAAGATCTATTTTATGTGCATGGCAAACACACACAGTCTCAATTCCTCTTGTCTAAAAGGGGTACTCTGATAAAGAAATATGTAAGAGCAAAAAGATATGATAGCTATAATTATAGGTATCTGATACTGAGCATATAAACATAGGGAAAGATCAGTTTTATAAAAGTAAAATCTGAAAAAGTGCAATATGCACAATGAACTTGAGCATCTCAATTTTCGTTAGTTTCGAAAACAAACCACAAAATAGGTAAAGAATAAAGAATTATTTTAATGGATCAAAATAATGCCTCAGAAAAAAAATCACTGCACATTTTAGGATGGATTCTCTTATGAGATGTTCCTCTGGAAATGCCAAGGCCAAAGGATAGACATCAACAGAGCCTGGCCAGTCTGAACACAAGGGAAGGCAGCTCCTGAGGATTCCAGCAGCGCGGCCACTCGAACAGAATCAGGAGGCAGCACAGTGAAACATACTAACACCAGAGACTGCAGTCACCCGCGACCACCAAAGCGCAGACAACACAGTGTCCAGGAACCCAGAGGCAGTTTGTGCAGTCAGAAAGCCAGCAGGGTGTTTCGTTATTCTAACCATAGCCCCACTGCCAAATATAGGCATTGTGAAATTTCCTTCCATCTTGTCACTTGTCTTTCCATTCCCTTAACAGTATCATTTGTTCAGCAGAAGTTGTTAATTTTGATGAGTTCTTTTACTTGTTTATTTTTGTCCTTTTATGCATACATGGTGCTTGGTGTTGCATCTTACAAGTTGTTGTATAACACAGGTAACAAAGACTTTTTGTATTTTTTTGTAACAGTTTTTTAATTTTAGTTTACATTTAAGTCTAGGATACATATTTAAATTAATGTGTGACAAGAAAAAGCTATACATTGAAGTTAATTTTTTAAAAAAAAGCTTAGCTATCTAGCTGTCCCAGAATCACACCTTTCTCCACTAAACTGCTTTTGCACCCTTGTCAAAAACAAGTTCTTCATAAATGTGTAGGTCTATTTCTGGACTCCATAATCTAAATTTATCCACTGATTTATCTTTATGTCAATGTAACACTGTCTTACCCCCAGTACTTTCATGAAAAATCTTAAAAAATCATATGGTGCTATCTTTAACTTTTTTCTTCTCTTCTAAAATTGTTTTACTTATTATAGGCTGACCACATCTCTATATAAATTTTAGAATAAGCTATTTAATTTCCAAAAAATGTTTGCTAGGATTTTGATTGATATTGCACTGAATATATAGATTGGTTTCAGGGAACTGATCATAACAATGCTGAGTCTTGAACCATAAACAGTATATCTCTTTCCATTTATTTAGGTTTTTAATTTCTTTTAGTACTCTATAGTAGTTTTCTGTGTACAGGCCTTTCATGTCTTTTGTCAAATTTTTCCTTGAATATTTTACTTTTTCTGATACTATTATAAATGGTATTTTTAGTATTTCAACATCTGATATCCATTAGTATACAAAAATATAGCTTATTTTAATTTTTTTATCTTGGTTGTATAACATTGCTAAACTCACTTGCTAGTTCTTCTCATTTTTTGAAATCCATGGATTTCATCAGATTTTCTATAAAGACCATCACAACATCCATAAGGAAAATCTCTCTCTGTCTGACTCTCTCTCCCTCCCTTTGGCTCTCTCTTTTTCTTTCTTTCTCTTATTTGCTGCCTCCCACTTCCTTCTCCTGACTAAGGTGTCAGCTAGAACCTCAGTATGCTCGTAACACACGCAGTGATGGAAAATCCACACTTCATTCCTGGTCTTAGGGGCCAAGCCTGGTACTTCACTAATGCATGATACTAACGGTAATTTTTTTATAGATCCTTTTCATTAAGTTGAACAAGCTCTTATCTGTTTTCTGTTTGCAGAAATGAAAATGAAACTTGGTCAAAGACTGTCTCTACATCTATGAGATGATTATCTAGTTTTTCTTTTTCCATTTGTTTAGTATGGCAGATAATGCAGTGTTACTATAGTGAGTTACTCCATTCGATTCTAAATTTTAAGCCAGCTGTACATTTTTTCAATAAGTCTAGGTCATGATGTGGTATCCTTTCTATAACTGTTGGATTCATTTGCTATAATTTTGTGTAGAATGTTTATATTTATGTTCATGATACAGTGATATTACTGTTTCTATATGCTTTTCGTATCAGGATAATGAGATCAGGATTAATTCCAGGCTCAAAAAATGAAAAAGAATTGCAATCATTAAGAAAACAAATGATAACAAATGCTGTTATGGGTACAGTAAATGAGCAGCCCTTCTAAATTTTTGCTAGAGAGGTGAAGTGGTACAACCATTATTGAAATCAGTGTGGAGATTTCTCCAAAACTCAGAATAGAAATTCCATTTGACCCAGCTATTTGACTTCTAGATATCTTCCTAAAGAGTTAAAAGGCATCATATTGCAGTGATAAATGTGTATTAATGTTCATAGTAGAACAATTTATAATAATTAAATCTCAGAAGTGGCGTAAATGCCCATCAGCAGATGAATGGACAAAGAAAATGTGGTATCTGTACATAATAGAATACTACTTGGTTATAAAGAAGAATAAATCTGAGATATTTGTAGGAAAATGGATACACCCGTAAACATAATGCTAAGTGAAATAAACCAGGCACACAAGCTTAAAATACCATATGTTTGCTCTCATTTGAGTAATCCAAAGTACAATCAAAGTAAGGAGCAAAACAGAAGACTGATACAAGGAGATAGAGTTTATGCAAATGGAAAGAGGATCAAGAGATGGAGCATGGGGAGCAAGGGTGTACAGATATTCAAAACGTACCATGCACGTGTACCAACTACCCACAGTGAAAGTAATCATTATATGTTGCAAACCAAAGAAACCAAAGAGAATATATGAACCAAAGAAACCAAAAATATAAACCAAAGAAAAAAGGAATGAAAATGGGGAAAGGGGATCCACAGTCAGAGAGAGGGAGAAGGATATGGAGGAGCAGAATCAAGATGTATTAAATACATGTGCCTGCTCCCTAAGATTAATGTAAACATCATGTACAGCAAACAGGTACTAATATAAAATGAGTTGGGAATTTTTCTCTTCCTATGACTGGCTAATGTGAGGTAGATCTAAAAGTCTCCTTGTAAAAGCCAGGAAAAGTAAGTCAGGCAAGACCCTAAATTTTAGCTAACTTTGAAAAAAGACTGAGGATGTCACAGGAGCCTCCAGATTGAATACTGTTGTGGCTTCCCATATCTTTCATAGACATGTTTTCAGATCACTGGCTAACCTTTGCCAACCAGAATAGTCCACCAGCTATTCTAAATGTGAAGGAGTATCTCATCCTAGCATATAATTTATTGGTTCTATCCAACCATCTCCTTGTAAGCATCAATATGAGAGATTCCATGATTATAATCAAAGTTTTACTGTTGCTGTTGTTTTAAATATGTATAGAGGGGTAAATATCTATCAAATAATTAAGATAAGCCAATTTTACAGGTGGCTAAATTTATGGCCTCTAGCAACTTGGGAAAAGCACCTGAAAGTTTACTGAGTTAAGCACAAGTCCATCCATGCCCACAAAGTTAGTCAGGTATCACTTACAAGAAACCTCGGAATCTGTTGAGGTCATTGTTTGGATTTTCACATTCTATCCTACTGGAGAACTTCTCAGGGTCAACTTCAGAGTCCTAAAAAATATTTTTAAAAGAATCACAAAAAAAGAAAAAGTCAAGGTAAAGGCCTTGACATATAACTATTTTATTACTTTTACAAACCCTTGAGATTATATTAAGGCTTTTTGGTCATTGAGACTTATGCTATAAATTTCCCAGATGAAAGAAAATACAGGCATAATTATGAAATCCTACCTGGGATTAGAATAGTCCTAGAGCTCTAACAAACATCTGCAAGAGCTGGGTATCAGATGCTAGAGTCCACTTAGAACTCTGAAGAAGAGGGCTTCTAATCATAAACACTTTTTTTAATCAATAAAGCACTGAAACTATTTTTCTTGTTAGTCTTTAACCACAAATAGTTCTGGGATTGAGAGAATATGTAAATATCTTAAGTGTACATGAATTCTATTCAGTCAAATTTTATAAACAAAATTTAAAAATAAGTAGGACATCAATATCTCACAAAATTCTCTAATGAGCCAAGGAGATAATTTTAGAATGTTTTATGAAACCAATGAATATTAAATAAAAATAGTTTTATAAGTTTTGGATTCATTAAGAACATGTTTGTGTTGTTTTTTACTATTGATACTAATTTAGCTCATAGAATAGTAATATGTACATCATAATAAACATGGAAAATGAGAGTTAAATGGTTTAGCTTGCTAATGATTTAATGAGTTTTTTGATATGCTAGAATCTGTATCACTACTTTAAATTGATGTACTAATTTCTTTTTGACAAGCCCATGAGGTCGGTACTACAACTCAACCTAAATAACAGATGAGGACAATCAGACCTAAGAATCTTTTAGGTTCTCAAAAGAAGTATCTAAACCATATCTACAACTGAGATCACTAAATTCTAGAATTCTCATCCCTACTTGAACACAAAGTGTGCTTTAGTTTAATCAACTGTCATCAATTCCAAAGTAGGCATGTAGTGGTGTAAAACAATTTTGAGTCATGAAAAAAATTTTTTTGCTATCATCTTAGGTACAGGACTGATAATTACAGTTACAGTGACATGAAGCTGAGAAGCACATCAATCACAAAGGAAATCAATGAAATCCCTAGATGGAAAGACGGGCTCAAGTGGTAACATGAGATCTATTAAAGACAGTGGTATCAAGAGGCACCGCTTTTGTTTAACAGTATATGTAAAGAAATTGCAACTTATAATTTTTACATATTTTCAATTCAATTTTTACATACTTTATCTAAAGTGCTCCCAGAAAAGAGAAAGGAAACTAGTCTGTATACACTACTTTTTGTTTTAAGATAAATATAAAAGTATAAAGTGTTTGAACTGCCCAAAGTCAGAGCAATTAATGGCAGAGCTGAGATTCACTCAAATTCATGTCAAAATACCTTCTAAGTTTTTGATTCCTTCATCATGATGGAGCCAAAGGTCCAGAAATTAAAGTGTGTAAACTTCAAAATCATATTATTCTATTACCTAAAAAAGTATAGCACACATCCACTCTTATCTGAAAAGTGGATTAAATCTTCATGAATTCTATTTTGTCAATGGTGAAGATGAGTTTAAGAATCTCTATTTGTATTGTGGAAATGAACTCAGTCATTTTCTGCAGAAAAAAGGTTGATAAATCACCAGCCAAGAACATGTCATTTACCTGCTCTGCATAGCCCCGTACCACCTGCCTCTGTTTTAAATTGCTCTCTCCATCAAGACCAGAAGTCTCAATGTGACAGATTCCATCCGGATCAGTGGAAAAGAGCAAAACCATATCTGCAGGGATGATCTCATTACAGGAGAGGCGAATGAAGTCCCCAACAGTGACATCTTTCCAACAACAATCAATGTATTTTTTCTCTTTCCTAAAATTGAAAAGAGAAAATTTTCATAATCCATACACTTAGCTGAAAACACAAACAATCATTTTTTATTTCAGTGAATAATTTCAAATATGGTTAAACTATCAGGGTGAAGTTTAGTCTACGAGACACTAAAAGGAAGTCGGGCATTGGTAAAGCCTAAATTCCACAAATGCTTCATCTGAAAATTTAGTTGCTAAACCACTAAATGTATTTTTTAGTTCTTTTTTGCCTGGAGGATTTTGAACCATCATGCATTGCCTTGGGCAATTGTAGAAGAAAATTAAGCTACCAGTCACAATGCAGAGCAATTCTTGCCTGCTGCTCTAAGTACCAAGGATGGGGGTGTGGGGACAGAGGTCACATCACCTGTTCTCAGACAACTTCCCATCACGAGACAGGGAAGATAAATAAGCAAAACATAATGAAATGTCAAGACGCAACATTTTCAAAACAATTACACCACCATATTGACACCTTTAGTTATCATTTAATAGAAATAAAGTCAGCTCTCCATATCTATGGTTTCCACATCTGAGGATTCAATCAATGATGAGTTCAAAATATTTATCATAAACATTATGTCAGTATTGAACTTTTTGTTATTGGTCCAGAAATAGTACCATATAACAACTATTTGCATAACATTAGCATTGTAGTCTGTATCATTGGTACTCTAGAGATGATTTAACACATATAGGAGGATGTGAGCAGGTTTTATGTGCAAATATTGCATGTTTTACATGAGTTATTTGAGCTTCTCTGTGGAGGTCCCAGAACCTTTCCCACCTAACCCCCTCCTTTCTCAGATACTAAGAAACAACTCTGCTCCTTAATATGGTCCTGAGTCTACTGCAGCTGATCCTTGGAAAAGAGAATGACAAATTTTATCCCTTTCAAAGTATAGTTTTCCCATTCTATGCATATTTTTAAATGAAAGACACATCATTTAAGGTTAAAGACTCTGCCTTATGTTAAAGATGAGGCCAAACTTCTCCGGCCTTTCAAGCCAAAAATGTTCATTATGCTCTGTGAGCCATTTCCTTTAGAGTAGAATGAGGAAATCTGCACAGCAGACTGTCTTTATCAGCTAGTTAAATAGCATTTCATAAACAATGTACTAACAAATGTATATGACAAACATCTGTCACAGGTCCCCACTGTCTCCCGGATATCTCTTTGTCATGAAACAAACTTATACAAAAACAAAAGTTATTTGCTATTGTATTTATGGGGCTAAATATTCACATTCATTGTCAAATATTTCCAAAATTATATTGACATATATTAAAAATGCTTGATTATATTAAATGCAATGCCACTAATACTTGTACATCTACTATTCAGACTATATCAGATATTTCAAAAAATATTTTCCTTGAAGGGCCAAACAAATATAAAGAAAGACAATTTCCAGATATAATCTTCCCTAAGGCACAGTTTGTATCCAACTGAAAGGAATCCTTGGTTGCCTAAAGAGTTTGTTTATGGAGAGAGGCAAATCAATCACTCATTCTGCCTTTTCCAAATTCTTCCCTAGTGTTTCCCGCATACCAGTTCATTCTTCCATGAAGGGAAGCTCTAAAAGATCAAAAAGGTAAGCAGGGATCATATTTTGAAATTTCTGTCCTATATGACATACCTAGAAGTAGGGATTACAGTTCCCAGAAAGAGAAGTGTCACTAAAAGTATAGAAGATGAAGGATGTGATCTTACTTCTGTTTACTCATTCCTAGAGCATGATAATGGAGAACTTGTTTGGCAGCAGCCCAGACACCAGTAAAAACAGCAGAGACCAATGGAAAGTTACTGAAATGCTTCAAGTGAGGGATGATGAGAGTTGGAATGAAGGCAGTAGCAACACAGATGAACCGAAGGAGATGAAGTGAAGAACTGTTTAGGTATCAGAGACAATCATGTTCTGACTTACCCTCTGTAAGAGTCAAGGAAAACACTGTGCTTTCTAACTTGTATGATGGAGCAATGGGTGGTGTCTCAGACCATGCTTCAGACTTAGAAGCAACTGGTTGCTCATCACAGGAGGCATTACCAATTCATGAGTTTTTACTTGATGTGGGATATACAGTTGAAGATGTTAAGCTTTTGATAATTGTGATCTAGAGCTCATGAGCAGGGTCTGAGGTACAAAGAGAGCAACTGACTCCAGGTAAGGATATGATTCCTTAGGAAAACTTCATGGTGATAGAGAAGTGAAATAAGACCCAAAAGTAAGTGATATCAGAGAAGAAAATTCCATAGAGGAAGTAAGTAATCATAGCCAAAAAGCCACAGAGGAATTCTCTATTATAAGGACCAAATGATACTTGGTATTTGGAGGTCTGTTGGTATTTGGTATTTATTTATTGGGATGTCTTTTGACCTAGGGAAAAGCTGGTAACATGAAACTAGTGATAGGGAGAGCACAGGAGAAAATAGGACCTCTAATGAATCAGGGAATGCCTTGAAGTTGGAGAGCAGAACACTTCTAGTAGACTGACTATAAAAAAATAAAGGATGAAAGTAGCTACTGCAAAGAAAGAGAAATACAGAGGGCATGCACACAGGATACAGAATCGGGCATGCACACAGGATATAAGGAAGAGCTGATGGAGAAGCAATGTAGAAGATAAAGGGTAAAGTGGGAAAAGTTGTAGCTATGGAGAAGTAACAAGGGATAGGTTAAGAATTCAAATGAAAAGAGTATTATTAATGCTACATGATACATTAATGAAAGATGTCAATGCTGAAAACAGGAGTCAGTTACATAATTCATGCTAAATAATTTCAACTTCTATATGAAAGGTTAAGTAGAAATTTGTCGAGATTTTATGAAGGTAAGGAAAGAAGACAGACTTAAACATTAGAGTTAAGGGTTGTGCTTTCTCTTCTGAATATCAATAGTAGCTTCCTCTAAGCAATATGTTTATTTTATATTGGAACAAAATTCAAATGAAATCAATTTTATAATTAAATTCATTGCATTTTCTCCCCTTGAACCATATATTGGGATTTTTTAAAAACAAGCAATGTCAATAGATGGCTTGTTCCATTCAGTTTCTAAGGATATAGAACTGATTAAGATGTGGTCTCTACTATAGAGAATTTATAGTCATGACTCAACTAGCAATTTCATAAGGCAGAGGTATGCACAAGTGCGATTGGGAGCACACAGGTATGGCATTTAGCCCTGGAGGAGTAACACCGTGCACCACCATGGGGAATGATCACAACTGAGGTGGGTGAGGAGACTGGGGACAGTGTTCTAGTCCAAGCGCTCGTGTGGTACGGGGAACAAATTGGCATGACACAGTGTGGTATGTGGGACTACCGAGGTAGACACAGGGCTCGCTCATGGCCACATTCAACTAATTAGCAACATTTACAATGGTAGTGACGCAAAATGAGGACACAGTTCCTTCCTGGATACAGAATCAAAACTAGGAAACGAACTGTCTTCTTCTACCAGGACCTAAGTGCACAACTAGAATTTCTTGCTTCATCTTAGCTGTCTGTGCTACGTATGGCTCTCACTGTTCAGGAGACAGTGCACACAACCGCTCCTTCAGCAAAACGTCTATGCCCATTTTGGTTTTTTATGAGTTCAGTAGTAAACGTTTTGCTCCATAAGCATGGGGAAAGTTAAGAATACAAATTCAGCTATTCACAGTGATTTTTTTCTTAAGTGGTAACTGGTAAAAGTGTAGAGAAAAAGTAAAACTGAGGGTTACAGCTTGTGGGTATCTATCCCTTCCTTTATAAAATTTAAAAGAGAAGTGGCCATGGTGGTGCATAGTTGTAATTCCTGTACTTGGGAGGAGGAAGTGGCAAGGTCACTGCGAGTTCAAAGCCAACCTGGACTACATACTGAGACGTTGCCTCTTAAAACAAGACAAAAACAAACCAACAAACAAACAAAAACTGCTCTATAGAGAGAAAAAGTGAAAATATGAATCATTCTTTTGATTTTTCAAAAATTAAAATAAATTTATAATAAACAAATGAATTAATCTTGTACACAAGAATAGCTAAGATGTATAAGATGCTCTCCATATATCCACTAACTCAGTGTTCTGTGGTTGGTACTATGGATCCACAAGGGAACCTTTTATGCACAGGCAAATATTGTCCTGAATGGGCTAAGTGACCTGCTCACAGTCACACAGCTGCTAAGTGGCCTTGGGATTTGAAGAAAGTCAAATCCTCCAGAGTCCATTCAATCACTAATTTCCTGCCAGCTAAAATCACTTCTGAAGACCACCAAATGAAACATGGTTAATTGTGCATTAAAAAGTGAATCTGAAGAACCACTGCTTATTCAAATGGTACACATAAAGTTAATTACCTTAGAAGGCCACTGATACATGGAATTATTTTAAAAATCATGGGATTTTATAAACTTATCAGATAGTACTCTTAAACTGTTAAGATGAGCTAATGTTTGCAACTTCTAATATCAATAACATGGTGACTTTTGAGGGCAGGCAGTGTATGTATTTCTTTTTTAAATTTCCAAATCTCTTGGCATGAAGCACATAATCAACACTCAAAATTGTTGAATAATTCATGGTCATTTCTATATTCTATTGGGAAAAAACTGAAAACCTTACAAATAGCTTCTACTTTAAAGGCGATCTTAAGAAAGTTAGCTTTCTTATATCATTCAAATTTAATTGGGATATAACAGGGTTTAAATATCTAAACTAGTGTTTGTTCTTTCAAATTATGTTTACCCATAGATATTAAGCACCTTGTGAAAGACCACAAATACAAATAAGAATCAAATTATCAGCAGAAAAATGTTAATATTCTTCTTTCAAAAGTTTTATCAATTTAATGGCCCCATATTTTCACTTTCAATGTTCTGAGAAATAATTTGTTCTCTTAAATGATTTCCTTGTATTCACAGGAATTTAAATTAGCATATTTAAATCAACAGGCATGGTGTTTATAGCCTACCTTTATTTCTTTATAAGCTTATCATAATTGTTTCAAGAACAGTTGGGAGAAAATATAAGCATTATTTCTTTGCAGCACTGAACAAAAGTAAATTACATAGAATATGGTTTTAAGAATATAGTTTTAAATTACATAGAATAGAGTTTTAAAAGCTCTAAAATTATCCACATCTCTAATGTGGTGTGATTTAAACTGGTATCTTAGAACTGACTTTAAATAAATGACAAGGATAGTGCTGCCTATCTCAAAGTTTACATGCAAATTAACCAAAGTAGATCTGGACTATGTCTAAAAGGGCACCTGAAGAAAAAGTTATTCTATGCCTTCCACTGGACAATTTTAATATCTAAAAAAACCAGAATAATGTTATTAAAAATTCTCAAGTGTTGCTCAGATGATGATGTGACCAACATAAACTCTAGCTAAGAGGTATTATTAAGTTACAATAATAATCTTGATGACTAACTTTTACTTAATACTTAGGCCTAGTTACAATGCTTGCTGTCTTATTCATAATGAGGGAAACTGGGTATTGAGCTAGTTTATATATTTTGTCCAAGGTTACACAGGTATTAAATGAGATAATTAGAATTAAAACACTTTGGAAGAATCTAGAAGAGCATATAGACACATATGATAACATGATCAAATCTACCAGTTAGCTGCAAATTAGCACTAAAAATAAGTAATTACTTACATACAAGGATTTATATGTAGAAGTATATATCATAGGCATTCTTTTCATTTGCTAAATTTGTTAGTATGTGAATAATCTTAAACTTGGTCAAAATCTAGACTTCATTATATAATCATTTTAAAATATTACTTCTTATAGCTTCTCTTTTAAGGTAAAAATCAGTATCAACCTTTTACCTCTTTCCCTGGCTTATTATAAGTATACTAATATTAGTGAGTGATTCATAGAATTGCTAGAGAAAAATGTTTTATAGACTTATAATGCAAGTCATGAACTTACACTGTAATATTTCACTGTTTGATCACATACATACTGATTCCTTTTACAGTAGACATAAGTATAAGAAAAATTAACTAAATTAATTCAAGTATCTCACATCATCTTTCAAAGAACAATAGTCCTTTCCTTCATTTGATAGATTTTAAAGCAAATGTTGTGAAACTTATTGAAAAATGTAATAATAAATAAAATCCAGAATTCTGCACGTTTTAGACTAAATATCACTTCTTTAAACATACCTTTCCTAACCTTTTCTGCTGTGGCTCTTATAAAATTAAAGACAAGTAATACTCATACTATTTATTAAGTATTAACTTACATACAAAAATAAAAATCTAGGAGCTGCATATAATATGAATTGTAGTTAACATCCATTTTATCTGAGTTTATTCTTAGCTAGACTTTCTATTTCATAAATATTAGAAATATAAATCATGCTCCTAAATAGATTTCTTCTTATAAATGCTGTTTTGCTACAATGGAATGAGTCAAGTTTCATGCAAAAAACAAAAAGACTTCTTCACTTTTCACAATCTCTTTTCCCCATAAATAGCTCCTGTCTTCTCTTTTCATACTCCATTCTATTTTTTAAAATCCATTCAAGTCCATTTTTGTTATTCATATTCTATTCTCTTCCTCACGGAAGAGAATATGGCATCTTTCCTAATATGGCATCTAGATTTGAACATTATCTCACTGGTGTCCTTCTTATGGTTTGAAATTTAATTCTTTGAATCCCACTACACAAAACTTGTGTTTTGTGAAATCCTGGGTAGACAATTGTTTATACACTGTTGTTTTCCTCTGACACCTGACTTGAATTCACTATAGGACTATAAGAAATATAAGTTGTAAACAACAATTCACAAAAGGTCTTGGCCATACCTAGGGGGTAAAAAGTGACACATTTCTAAATGATACATGTATATTTCCTATGGAAGCTCCCATCGTACTTACCTATTGTAAACTTTAGTTATTAAATTATTGATGTGCTTGTCAATTTTGTATTTTCGGTAATCTTCTAAGCCATCTTTAACCGCAATAATTGAAAGGACCACCACCAGAGGCAACATGGTAATTTCCTTTTGGAAGGCTTCTACCAAAGGCACCCAGTTCAGGACAACTAGGAAGAGGAAATATAAATTGGCAGCCCTGCAACACACACAGACAGATGTCAATAAATTACTTCAAGATCTGAAGTAAAAAAGGCAAATGACTATTTTGTATTTTCCTATGGCTTTGTATAAGTCAATCTTGTACATTACAAAATAGAATATGAGTACAATCTAAACCTAAATGAAGTATTTATTATCCTTCTAAACATCAGTTTGGCACATCCTTTAATAAATGTAAGGTTTTATGAAATATATAATAGTGTTATTTGAGTGGGACAGTTTTGAGTTGTATAACAACATGATAAAAATTAACAACAAATTCATAATTAATGTGTTTTAACCCTCTATCATTTTGTATATCCAAACATCAATATTAGATTCACACAAGACTCAAAATACAATGGAAAGCCTGCTTTTTGTATTCTAACCCTCTTATTTCTTTTTAAACTATTCAGAACCATATTTTTGAGAAATTTCTTACATTCCTATAATTTATATATTAAAGTATTTCTTTATTGGTATATTAATTTTATTTGTCAGATTTTACTTTTAACCATACGTTCAAAATGCCTTTTTGCTTAAAAGAAAATAAAATCTCAATCCTGCACAGATCCTTGAATTTTTATCACACATTTAACCATTGATCATAAAGCTTCTCAAAAGAAAATCTATCCACACTTTACATCCTCCACATCTCTAACTTATTTTACTCTGAAAATTTCTTAATATTTTTTGCTACTTCTGTGGCTTGTATTATTTCCAAATGAACCATATCCAAAGCTATACCCTCAGGTGCAGGGTTACGCTTATAGTTAAGGTCAGTGACTTTGCAAATTTCTGTTTTTTTTTTTTTAAATCAGATATACTTGTTATGGCTTATGTCTACATGTTCCCCTAAAGACTCATATAATCATAGGTAGGGCTTTCAGAGGTGGCTGGATCTAAAGTGTGTAATCGTTGGATTAAGGGTGTGTGATTACTAAATTAGTCCAGTGACTCCTATGGCATAGCTCTGGGTGTGGATAATGGGAAGGCCCACCTTGACTGTGAGCGCTGCCTATCCAAAGGGCATGTAGACTGGATAAAATACAAGGGACAGAAAGACGGCTGCTGTCACCACTTACTGACTGCTGCTTTTGCTGCCGCCTGCTTTTTGCCTGCCATCTGTGATGTCCCTTCGTCATGCCACCCTGCCTAGGAGCTAGACAATTAGACTGCAACTTGTACAAACTATGAGGCATTCATCCAACAAATTTAGATCTTTAACATAACTATTATTCAATGAAAACAAATAGAACATATATGGAAGATATCATGAGAATAAATGCAGCAAAAACCATAATGTATGCTAAGAATATGTATGTTCAGACTAGCACCTCAAATACAGTTACAAAAACAAACTTCTTTTTATTTCTGTCTCTCCTTCTTTTGTTAGTCTTCCTGGTCATCCCAGCTCCACATGTTCATGGCATCTTCTTCCTGCTTTCCTTTAATTCCCCACATCTAATTTACAGTATTTGCAATGGGTTGTCCTTATTAGTCTCATATTGTTCTAAACTTTAAGTCTCCAACACAATTCACTGGGACGTTTACAGTGACTTCGTAAATATTTTTTCGGTCTTTAGTTTGCCTGCAAGCCCTCCCATATGCCTAATACATTGCTTCTGCAGTGAAATACAGACATATGCACAGTAATCCCCTATTCAAAACTATGCCTGCAGTTTGGGATCTCAATTCTTTATCCCGACTTAGAGATGCCTCTTGTGGGTTAAACCTGTTTTTCCAACATTTTCCCTATTGCTCCCCAACATATGTCCTATAAATTATTAGAAAAGACCACTTTCAAGGCTTCAAATAAGCCTTTTATGCTACTGATTCTACACTTTACTTATACTCCTTCCTCCTTCTAAAATAAGCTTTGCCCATACTTCTGTCTGGAATAGCTCACCCGCTCCGTGATTAAGTCAAATGTCACATCCCTTTGTACTGATCCAGTTTGCATTATCTCTAAGGCTTCTGCTCTTGTTAGCACTTTATAAAACTAATCCATTCACTATATCCTTTCATCATTGGTATATGTATCTTATTTCCATGGTAAAATTGCAGACTCCGTAAAGAAAAGAGTAACATTTATAATTGCATTTCCTTTACCACCTACACTCAGAGGTGTTGCTAAATGCCTATGAAACTGAATTATGTCATTGCTTCACTTAGTAACACCCCATACATTTGCATTTCCTCAAACGCTATTTTCTCATCTTATCAAGTAAGAAAAAATCTGTAATTAAAATGCAGGAAAATTTAATGGAGTAAATACTAAACCAGAGCAAGAATACCCAAAGCTCTAGCTACTCATCACTAACATGACACTGTATAAACCATAGTCAGAATTTCTTAATCTATAGTGAGATAAAACAGCATCTTCTCTGGTAAAGATAAAGCACCTTAACAATTGTGAAGTACTATGTGAATATGACAGATCATTAATCTACAGCAGAAATGGACCCTAACTGGCATGGATAATATCACTACCCTTACACTTAAATACAGATAATGTTATGAAAGTGAAAAAAAAATTATGTATCCATTAGAATGATAAAAAGCGTACTAAGATTTTATTTCTTTAAAACAAATGATACCTGTGAAATTGTTCAAACAAATTTCTTGGCACAAAATTCAGAAGCGTGTACTTTGTTGTTCGTATTTGGTTATTCATGTAGGTTCCAGAAAACTTATCATACTCATCCTTGAAGGGCTGAAGGTGAGGAATAACAACACGGTGCTTTCCTGGCAGTTTAGGGGTCCGGGAGGATTTTCCCCCACAGGCAAGCAGCGAGGAGTAGCTGTACAGCCTCTCATCGTCATCCCTGGTTCTACCACCCATCAGCCGTTGCCAGTGGTATCTGGCCCATTGAAGAGGCTCAGTCATGTCCAGGACACAGTGAGATACAGGCTGTGCAGGTGACCTGACAGAAACAAACAAAAAATAATTCCTATAAGCTTCTGCAAAACTTTAAAGGAGAACAAATTTTTAATTTAATTTTATGGTTGCCCAAGTAAACATATGGCAATAGGTAAGCGGAAAAGGAAAAAATCTCTAGAATTCTATTTTAATCCAATCTTTACTAATGAAAGCATGCACTTTCTAATTGTCTAATCACTTATGCTACAAAAACAGTGCATAAAAAACCATTCCATCACTTGAAGTACTAGGCCACATATAACAAGTCTTTTAATTTTTTGTTCATCAGTTTTCTTGTCTTTGAAATGGCAATAATGCTACATCTGTCAGGACACTGTCATCATTAAATGAATAACATGTCAATTATCCAGCTTAAGCTGTCTGAAAAGCACTTAACAGTACCCATTCTGTGTAGAATACAAAAATGCCCACAAATTCTAGTTAGCCCGTTTTGCACATCTCTTTGTGCATTGCGAGACAGATTCTTTCTCTTCCTGTTGAATATTCTTTCTTGGCCAAATGTCTTGCTTTAGCTAAAGAAGACCTGCAAGCAGGACACAAGCAGAGGCTTGAAAAGTGCTTGCTCTTGGGGCCCTTTGGCCACTACTATGAGCCCTGGCCTTCCCTTGATCCAGCTGAGCTCAGCCCAAATTCCCAACCCACCTATCTGTGAGTCAATAAATACTATATCATCAAGTTTAGGAATAGTTTATTAGAAAAAGCATTTAACTTACTCACTTTTTCCTTATTTTTCAAGTCCCACTTGGAATATAAGCACTTTACTTAGAAAAGAAAAATGGAGAACAAAAGCTAACATTTATAAGTGCATACATATTCTAAGAATTTTGCAAAACCGTTTACACATATTGTCTTGCTTAATATGTACATCAGTCCTCTGACACAGATAGCTCAGGCTGATTCAAACCACATCCTTCTGACTCGAGAGTTTTAACTGGAAATAGGCTTCATTTATCTGTATATCTAGAGGCCTGAACTTTAGCAGATCCTCTCAAAAATTTAGCCACTATCATCATAGCACGTCACCAAATGCGTGGAGAGCAAAGTCCAGGGCTTGGCTTCTAGTCTTGCTTTACCAGTATCATTGCATTTATTCTATTTATCTAAGGCTAGAGTTCACTCTGGTGATGTTTATCTGGTAAATGTGTGGATAGTTCCTACTCATTAATAAAACTACCTACATAAATCTGATTCAGAGACTAACATGTATGACTGACTGTCCTGGAGAAAAATCAGGTTATATGCTAGACACCACACTAGATTAGGAATACAGAGAAGACAAAGACCTAGATTCCATCCTCTGGGAGTTCAAGGTCTAAGTGAAGTGATGGGCATATAAATATTCAAATGCAACTCTGGGTACAAAACAGCCTTTAATGCATTCTAGTAGTTTAGGCAATTTAAACATGTTTCTTATCTAAACATTCTAATTTTATAACACCAAAGTTAAGTCATTTCTCTAGTGTTATTAATCTCCTAAGGGATTAATTAACATTGTATCCAGTTTCCAGGGATCCAAAATACTAAGTCATTAGCAGTACTGATAGATGTAGTCCAAGTATCCTAGTAATTCTAGTGAATCAGTATTTTTAATAATCCATTCTTGTTAGAGTACTTACATATTCAAGCTTTAAACAATCCAAGAGATTATTTTTGTTTGGCATCACTTTATCACTGCATTTACAATAAACAAACTGAATTCATATATTTATATATTGTATGAATCTGAAGGAAAATAATACAAATAAATGAGTAGAAAGTCACTTTTAATGGAAAGAATATAGCACCCAGGTACCTATACTCAAGTCTGGATACCAGATCTATAGCCCATGCACCTCATAGGAAGTCAATAATAGAGTAATAAACTCTATTAGAAAGTCAGTCATCAGTTTTATACAAAAGATTAGAACAAGAAAGAAAAGAGCTCTATCACTATCAAGACCTCTGTCCTTTAGAGTTTGTCCTCTAAAATATTTACTCATAGAAAACTAAATCAATAAACACGTTACTTAAGTAAACGTCTTGTCTCACTAGTGTAAGAATCTGAAAGATCAAATAAGATCCAAAATGTACAAAGATATTGTGAATAGAGAAGAAACTGTTTTAAAGAAAAGAAAAACTGAAGGGAGAAAGAGAAAAGAAAAAAGTACATATGAACACAATGCAGTTAAGACAGTTATATAGCTGGTTTCTCTTATTTCACTGAGGGACAAATTTGGTGCTAGTATTTATTGTACACAATGTTTCGTGCCTATAACTTGTGCTCTGAATAACTACTGTGAATATGACAATATGCAATGTGTGAACTATTGTTCTTCTCTCACTAGCCTGTTTTGAAACTTTTTTCTGTTATTTCTTACTTTTTGTTTAAAATAAGAAAATAAATATGTTAGAGTAATGCTCACTATCATTTTAATATTATTTTAACATGTCTACTTCTGAAATATATTTGCAAAGCCCACTTTTCACCTTATTAAAAGTAGTTTAGTTCTTAAATTGTAATAATGACAGCTTAGGTTACTAAATTAGTTCATAACACATCCAAAAGTCACCTCTAGAGTAAGAATATAGGCCATGCTGTAAAAATTGACCAATGGGTAGCAGAGGAAACTGATTAGTATAAATACTAAGCACCTTCATGAATTGCACACTATGTTCACTAGGTAATCATGATAACAAATGTCACATTTTTAGAAGGTTAAAGTCACTATGATTTGGTCTTGTTTCTGGAAACTTTAAGATGAAGTTTTCCCTTGCAATTAAAATCTTTTAGACGGAAGAGTGCCTATTTCTCTATTGTTCATGGTCTCATACAACAATTTAAATTCTCCTCCTCTCTTTAAATTTCAGAACATAAATTCTTGAGAATACATTTTCATTCCATAGACCCAGGCAAGAATCATATTTCCACCCAAGTCATTTCGTTCCTAAGAAATGATTCTATAGTGAATAGAAAGCTTGTCATTGCAAAAGAATTTGTCTAGGTCTTTCCTCTGTGCCTTGTAGGTATCTTTACAATGACAGTGGCTTCTTTATTAACTCATACACTCTCTTTCCTTTCCTTTGTCCTTTTCATTTTGGGTGAATTTTAACGGAAATGCAGTAGTGGCTGGCTCTCTGCCCCATGTGATCCTCCCCTAGTGTCCAGCACCATCCTCCCGCTCTCTGAGGCCTGGCAGTTCACCACCTTACAATGTCTCTCTCCCACCAGCTCTTCCCCCTATTTATGGAAACTGATTATTACACCAGATGATGGATGTGAACAAGAAAGAAGTTATACACTCAAGTGACTGAGAAGAAAAGCCCAGTCCTAGTAACAAACAGATGATAATCTTTACAAACTTCTGCCTCAAACTTAAATCCCAGGATAATGGATGTAACACAGTGATAAAGTCCTTACCTAACGTGAGCAAAGCCCTGGGTTCCATCCCCAGGACTACAAAGAAACAAACAAATAATCAAAAGGTAAAACGTAAATCCTTTTGTGATAAACAGGAATGACCCACGATCTACTCAACTGATCTTATTCAGTGCCTTTCAGAACAGGTCAACTGTCACCCCAATGAGAAATATATTTTATAATGCAGCCTAAATTTTGGAATTACTAAATCCAGAGTTCTCAAATCAGCAGCCTTTAAAACTACTTCTATCCAGTAATGTACTATGTATCAAAATACTGACATAGTATTTTAATTTTTATATATAGACAGAATAGACATTTTAAAATGGTGATATATTCACATAAAATATTGATAATTACCTTTTCTTAAGCAGAAAAGAAAAAAAAGAAAAAAAGATCAGCAGAATATTTGGGTATATTTTCACACTCTTACAAATGTCAAAAGCTTTCCTCTATGGTCCTTAACATTCACTCTGTATTTTGCAATTCATCCATTTTAACTGAGTTACAAACACTTTGCTCATCACTAATAACAATTAGTTTTAATTGGCATATAATAAATGTACATATTTGTGGTGTACAATGTGATGTTTTTTAGTACTGTGTAATAATGACATCACGCTAATTACTATATCCATTACCTTACCATTTCTTGGTGGTAAGAACATTACAAATTCCCTCTTCCAGCTATTCTGAAATGTTCGATACAGTATTAAATATAATCACTCCACTGTGCAACGAAACATTTGAAGTGATTTTTCCTGTCTAACTGTAAATATGTACCTATTGACCCATCTCTCCCTACACTCTCCTCTCTACCCTTCTCAGCCTCCGATAACCAGCCTTCTAATCTCTACTTCTGTGAAATCAGCTTTTTACATTCCATACATGTATGAGATCATACTCATCAGTTTTTGACAAACTAAATTCTTTGTGCTTCATGGACACAGGTTGAAATATCAGCTGAGTTACTTATTAGCTGTGTGTCTGCATAATGAATCTTTGAACCTCCGTCTGCTAAAGTCTGTTGTTTAGAGTTAAGAGATGGGCTATGGGTGAACAATGTTCATTCCTCACTCAGCTCTTTAGTAATTTCTTAACCTATGCCTAAGTAAAGTTGGGAACACTGTACACTGAGCTGGACAAACTTTAAATATATTACTTCAATTCATACAAAGCTGAATAAATAAATGTTCAGTGTGATGTACCTATTGATTCCTGAAAAGTAAACAGAATTAGGTAGGCTACACACAGAAAACCGAACAATCACAAAAGATAAGCATGACATAAGATGATGCATAACATCCAATCTCAGCCTCAACTATTCTCTCCAAAACTCATTCCAACTATGTTTATAAACAAAATGTATTCTACTTGTTGCTTCCCAGACTTTCCTGATAAGTATCACCTGGGGCCCCTGTTAAGCCCAGGCACCCAGGTCTCTTCCCCAGAGATTCTGATTCAGTGGATCCAGCATGGAGCCATGAAAGTATAATTTAATTAGTGCCCCAGTGACTTATCAGAGTGGTTCTAAAGCAGTAAGCACAGCCCAGCCTCTATATTTTGCAAGTGCTACCTTCTCTTTCTGGAGGATTGATCAAACACTCACCACACAGCCTCTATTCCTCCTCTGGTCTGTTTTAGCTTGACCTGGGGGAGGAGGGAGCCTGGCCAGGGTCCACACAGGAGACACAGGACATTGCTCTGCACCCATTACAAGCACAGGATGGCTCAGTCAATGCACTTTGCACAATGTGTTGCAGGTGGCTTTGTTCTTCAAAGTCAGGAAACATGCACTTTCTCTCCAACAAATGTCTGTTCATCATTGAAATTTATAGAAAAAAGGTGAATACATAAAAAAGAAACAAAACTTGCTTCTTTCATGGCCAAATTTGGCTTTCTTTTCCTTTGTAAGTAATGTAAGGAATACAAGATCTAAATTTGAGAAAAAAAGACTTATTTTTGACTGTGAGTTCATCATTCTGCCTTTATTAAGAAAAGAAACCTGCTCTCTGAGGCCTGAAAATCTTTTAGAACAAAAATTTTATCTGCTATTAGATTTATAAGATAAGTAAACAATATTTTAGTATAATTAAGAGTGCAGGGGCTGGGGATTTAGCTCAGCGGCATAAGCATAACCTGCCTTACAAGCAGGCAGTCGTGAATTCGATCCCCGATATCGATTTAAAAAAAAAAGTGCATGTGCTGGAGTTAGGTACAAATGTCACCTTCAGGCACCTCCACCTACCAGCAGATCTCACTCACACTGTTGATGTGAGCATCAACTGATTAATATGTTTAAATACCTTAGAAAAATATGTGGTGCACATAAGTGCTAAACACAGGAACTGTTGAAATTACCTGGAGAATGTTCTCTCAGCTATAATAGTTACTTATAAGTATTAACTGAGAATTTGTGCACAGTTTGATGCTAACAACCACACCAAACAGTCACCTATGTCTAATTTCTTAAACTCTACCTCATGCTCATCCATCTGGTCATGCATATCTTTCAGTAATTTTGCTTTTTGACTAACTGACAAGACTACCAGCACCCAACTAGCTGAGGACAGTAATACCCTGCTCCACCCTCTCTCACCTGTTCTCAGGAACAAGTCCAGCAACACTGAATTCGAATTCTCTAAACAACAGCTTAATGCATAGTACTTTTAAATTTTTTTCAGGAACAACATTCACATTTCTAAGATTTAAGCAAATTCCTTAAAAGCTGAATTGTCGTTTTCTGCTAATAAAGCATGCTTCTTTTAAAAAACCTGATTCTCAGCAATGCTGCCTTGAGAATTAACAAAAACAGATTTCAAAATCACACAAAGAAACAGGTTCTGAATGTGCATCATGATCACTTAAAAAGAATCTATAGCTCTAGACCCTGTAAAGTCCTAGTGAGCTGCCATATTCAAAGGCTGTGAGAAGGCTGTATTTCATTAAAAACAGGAACAAATTAAATTTACCTAGATTTTATTAAAGTCACCACCTCTAATTTCATTTTTAGTTTGAGAGCCATCTACAACTGCAGGAAAATTTGGATTACTAACACATTTGCTGCTGATCAGTGATGGAAAAACATAGATGCATATTAACTGTTCTAAAAGGTCCACATGTTCCTGAGCTGAGCTGGGAATATAAAGTCCAACATGGAAGTCTAAATGCTATTTAATGGAATCCTGTTTTAATTTACTGACATTCGCCTTTCAATCTAGAATTTAAATGTTTAGTAATATGACCACAAATTCTGGAGATCAAGATTCTTAACAAATGCAAACACTGGGCAAGAGATGAGCCATGGGATTATAAAAACCAAATGTTAATAGACAATTAATCTAAAATACACGTAAGCCAGTAAGATAACAATATAATGAAAAAATGTTTCATAACAATCATTTATCATGAACATTTGAATATTTATATGTACTAAAGATGTATGTGCAAATTTGTCTACAATTGTCAGAAGGAAATTATAAGCCAGTTTCACTGATGAATACTGACAAAAAATTCAACACAATTTAGCAAATTAAATACAATACAACCCAAAAGAATGGATGTTAGTGGCATTTAGATGCTGAGAGAAGCTTTGAATGAGCCCCTTGGTTCTAGAGTTACTAGCAACTGAATTTTGTCACCATGAGACTGGAAGCAGATTCTTCCCCAGAGCCTGCAGAGAACTCAGGCTGGATGACACCTTCACATTACCTCTGAGAATGTGAGTGAAGAAACATGTTACACTGTGACTACTGGATTTCTAACACACATAATTATGCACTTGTTGTCTCAAGTCAATTTGTAGTGTTTTGTTTACAGCAACAGAAAGCTGATAAAACTCACGACGTAGCCCAGCCTGGCCTTGAGCTCACGGCAATCCTCCTGCCTCAGCTTCCCAAGTGTTAGGATATAGGTGAGCACCAATACACTTGGCATTAAATTCTTACTATATAATATATTAAATAATATGCTCCAGAAAAAATAAAAATTTAAATATATAAATTGTAGTAAAATTACTAGACAAATAAAATATATTTTTATTATTGTTAGTTGGGAAAAATTTTTCCTAGGGAAAAAGTTACAAAGGACAAGTAATAGGAATTCATCTATCAATCATATATCTATCTTTTTACCATAGGAAAGTTGTAAATAAAATCAAAAATCACTGTAGCACAAAATGAATAGCAAAGTTACAATATCCCTACCACACAAGGTGAACAACCTATACAAACAAATTAAAACTCCAACACACTTATGCAAAAATATGAATAAGCAATTTTCAAAAGAGGATGTTCAAAGGACCTACAAATATATAGGTACTAACCCTCACCAGTGAGAGGAAGATTGCAAATTAAAGTTATCTCGGAGGTGCTGCTTTTATTCATCCTACCACTAAAAGTGAAAAAGAATAATTGCTAGTACTGGAACAGATGCACAAAAACAAACCCTTCTCACAACAGAATGTGAATTGCTGTGTTTTCATGTAGAAATTTGTCAATCTCTAATTCAAATTTTAAAACATGCAAATATTGACCTAGTTTTACTTTGGGGTGTTTTTTCCTCTAGGATGGACATAGTCACAAAAATGTATATTGTACCTTTTCTTTTTTATAGTCTTTAGAAACATGAGAGTCTTTCACTTGGAGAGTAGTTTACCACACTGTAAATATATACATCCTGGAATATTACATACCTATTAAAATGGTGCATCTCCATTTATTGGCCTGGATATGTAACTATTACAAATTACAAGCAAAAACAAAACAAAGCCAAGAAACCAAGCAGGAAGTAATAGAGAATTTTAAATAGAATAATCTCACTTTTGCAAAATCCCATCAGGAAAAGGCCAAATGACTGATCAGCTTCAGAGACTGGGAGAAAGACAACTTGGGCACAGTTTTACGTGCACCGTTGTTTGCCACCTAGCTAGCAAACACAATGTGCAAAGACATAAGTTGATCTGTGATACTGGTTAGCGGAAACAGTTTCCATCGCTCCTCTGGTTCCTGGTGGAGAAGAAACCACTTGGCAATTTTGTCAGCTCTGAAAATGAGGCTCCTGTTGGGTCAGAAGAGCCTGTGACGGGAGTCCACTGCTTTTCCAATTTTTAGGCTCAGTAAGAGCCACATCAGCACACGAGAGCCTTCCGCTTCTCACTGCCATCAGTTTCTTAACATTTATTTCCATTTCTTATTGCATTGTTGGGTCTACCGCTGGCCTCACCCTGGTCCATTTCACTTAATAACACGACCTACCTGGATGTGTACATGTTTTCTTACGTTTGTAAAAGCAAGGAGTTCCGTATTATTTGTAAGAGTGTGGATACGGAATAATTCATACCAGCCTGTGGTATTTTTGACTCTAGATTCAGGATAAAAATATAATAGTAGCAGGGGCTGGAGGTTTAGCTCAGCGGCATAAGCACGTGCCTTGCAAGCAGGCAGTCGTGAGTTCGATCCCTGGTACCGATAAAAAAAAAAAATATATATATATATATATATATATATAATAGTATATTGCTAATTTTTCTTCTCTTTGTCACAATGAATATGCATTGATTTATAATTTTTGATTTATAATTTTTGAAGTTAAAGTTTCTAAAGGAAGACATGATAAAGTGATGAAATAGTCTAAGTCTGTCATAAAGCAGCTCTGTTTAATGCTCAATATTACTTTTTCCATCCAATTTCCTATCCACTCCTAGAAGTTGATGCCACCATAATTAAAATTTTAAACTCTACAAGTTATCAATTTTAGGTATGAAATTAATTAACAGCAGAATTAAAGAAACAGAAACCAAGTATATCTTAGGAAGTACCAATACTCCTTTAATGATGGTTAATTACAAGTTTTTAGATGTCAACTAATTTCATCTTTACAACTTGATACAACTTTTCATTTTCATTTTCATTTTTCTTTTTACTTTTTTTTTTTTTTTTTTTTTTTGAGAGAGAGAGAAGATCTCACTGTGTAGTTCAGGCTGGCCTTGAACTCATGGTGATCCTCCTGTCTCTGCCTCCCTACTACTGAGCTTACAGGTGTGTGCCACCATATCTGGCCTCATTTATATTTTTCAAAGGAAGAAACAAAAAGTCAAGAAAACTTTGTAATTTTCTTAAGTCATACATAGTTTGACTCCAAAGCCATGCTTTGCCAACTCACAAGGCTAAATACAAAATGCGTCATATTTATGTCCCAATATTATCAGTCATGATTGGATAACCATCAGCTACAGTATATTTTTCCAAAAGCTATTAACAAAATTCTCCAGAAATAAAGTACACCTAAATTATAACACAACATACTACAGTCCTTTTTATACACATATCACTTGAAAGCAGAGTCAGTTCTCACAAATTCTTAATTAATGCTTAACGAGAAGATTGAACCTGGGTAGATTACTACATGTAAATACAGGATAATGAATTCTCTTGAGCCCAGTTAGCATTTAAAAATTTCTGACATCATGATGAGCCAACAAACAACTTAAAATATATACATGAGCTCACTAGTCTAAAAGACAAAAACATTCTTCAGTATGGTTACCTCAAGATGTTCTGTGCTTGGGCCTTATACTCTAAGCATGCATCAGGACCTTCTAAATCTCACTTCTTAATTTCTGGTCCAGCAAGTCCAGGATAAGACTCACAAATCCATCATTTCTAACAAGTTTGCAAGCAGAGAAGATTCTGTAGTCCTAGGATCGCTCTTTGAGAACTACTACCCTTTATTAGTAGCTTTATTCCTGAATGTGATGAAATCAAGAGTGAACATTAGATATCCCTGGAGAAGTCCATTTCCTTTGAATATATAAACCAAGTCCAGTACCAATGGCTTGACAGCACAATACATGTAAGCCTTATGTACAAGGCTGGAATGAACTGAAACAGACTGCGTAAAAATTACCAGATTGAAGACGAGGTCTCAAGGCATGATCTTTTCTGTAGATTTAGCATACTGACAATGAATTTCAAC